CTTGATGAACGATCCCACAGGGACAGTCCCGCGGAGGCCACATCCACACACATATCGATGAGGTTGGCTCTTAGTGTGACACTTCCTTTATACACACAATCTCAATTAGTTGCAAGAAAGCAGGCAGCTGCGAGCGTATGTTTGCTCTACATCTTTCTTCTTCCTCATTCCCTCACACCACACACACACACACACACACATCCATGCACACATCTGTAGCCCCCCCACCACCACCACCACCACATATATACTTATTTATCATCTTCATGCACACATACACCTATGTGACGACTCCCCACAGGACTCGTGATTGCAGCTACACTGTTTTGTATTCATATGAGAGAGTCTCAGCACTCTCCATTTCTCTCTTTATTTCTCTCATATGAATACAAAGTAGTTAAGGCAGAATCAAAAGAGACCTGAGAAATTTCTTCCATCCCTCTTTTCACCATCTCATCTCTTTGCAGCGATTCCTCTGACACTTGATTGAACTATTTTTTCTGGTTAAGAGGGGGACAAGTGTAAAGGAGAGCCCTCAGTTGTAAACTTCAAAACATGGTTCGACTAATCATCATCTGCACACTGAGGCCCAAATTTCTCTTTTCCTCAGTGAGACATGCATGCACACTCTCTCTCAACCTGTTGTTTTATTCATCCCTCATGCCCCCCTCCCCCAACACACACACACGCACACACCCACTCCACTCCCCACCCCTCAAGCATTTGTGTTAAGTGCAGAAGTTATCTCTAAATGGACTCACTCAAACCCGACCCCCACCCCACAGGAAGCTAACACTTCTCTTCCTAGGGCCTCTGAAATGAACAACTTTGGATGACAAGCTGTGACACATTTTGTTCACATTAAACAAGTGTGAACTTTTACACACACACACAGTTTTCTCTCTTCCACACAAATGCTAGGGGTAGCTGTGGCGGCAGGGTCAGTAACACAGGGCACACTCACAAAGCAAGAAAGAGAGGGAATGTCCATAAAAGAAGAAATAAAAGAAGAGTGCGGTCTACATCCCATAAGAAAGAAAAAACCAGTATGTTTTTTACTTGCCAGAATCAACATATTTTCTTACAACCTTCTCGCTTCACTCTTTTCCTTTCGCCATCGTCTCTTTTTCCACTATCTCCTCATCCCACCTCACAGCCTTCACTCTCAGAAAGTGACAAGGAGAGATAGGCTATTTAGATCTTGTACAAAAGGAACCAATTATCCTAACATGCAGCCCACGTCCATCCTATACGCCCGACCGCTCACCACAAATCCCTCCATGCTTCAGAGCTTCCTCTGCTCTCCATCAACCTCTTATCCTCCTGCCATCATCCTCTTCTTGCAGCAACCAAGCAATGATTAACGCTGGGCTTGTTTCCGTTCCCTCCCTCACCTCCCTCCTGCCTTCCCTTGGTGTACTTCTTCCTTTCCACCCACCTTTCCATCTTTCTTCCAACATATAAATCTGGAAATAAAACACAATGCCATCCGGTGTCTGGCAGTGCGAAAGGTTGCATTAGAACATGAGACCTGTCAGCACATCAGCATGGATCCAACACGTGACTGGTGCTTAACTCCAGTATTGCTCATGCAAATCCCCAGAACCGTCTTTTACGCTCACTCATATCCTCGATGCTGCCTCCACACACACACACGTGCGCACATATTGTACATATTGCACATTAATATTCTATACAGGAAAGCACACACACACACACACACACACACACACACACGAACACATATTAGAGAAAGATGCTCTTTTTTGTTTTATTCATGCTGGCAAATTCAGTGAAACACCTCAGTGTCTCCTGTCTGGAGTATGGGGAGGTGGAGCGTAGGTGAAAGGCTCGTAGTACCTGAGGCTTTCATAACAGCATTTGCATAACAAGCATCCGACTGCCTGAGGCTCTTACATGACAGGGATGGAGGCCTTTGAGCATCACCTTTGCTTGCTGGAAGTGCAGGATGGGAGTGGGAAATTAGTAGGTCACCAGTGAACTTTTCTAGCAATGTCCACCGTCACATTCATACACTAATACGCACTGGATTCTGGCCAACTGTAGATAAATTTTACATTTTTGTTGATTTTCTAAATATGTGAATAGTTGACATCATTTTTGCAGAAAAGATATTTCACCTGAATTTGATGCATTTCTGCAGATTTAATTTAACCGATTACCGGCATACATAAAAACAATGAATGGGGCTACTGCAAAAGCTTTGGCACCTTGTACCTAGGAGCTGCCAAGAAGAAATACTGTCTCTCTACTGGTGCATTTCAGGGTCAATTTACCATGCTCAAGTGCTCCTCAACAGTAACTGGTAAAGATGGTTAATTTTTGGATTGAAAGCACTGGTGTGGTTTGACACACTTTTAATCTTAAGGCTGCTGGCACTCTAAGCAAAAGAATTGAGTGTCTTCTCTAACTCTTAATAGACTATAAACTTTGTGTTTTGATTCTCTGTGCTACGAGAGAAAACACAGATGTGTGCCTTCTTATTTAAGTTTGGCAGCAAATCACAGTAGGTTGTCTGCGTGCCTGAGTACTCAGGAGAAGTAAACAGGTTTATCTCTTCCAGCCGCTTCTATGTATAAGTAATGCATTGCTGTATTTCATTGAGCTTTGAATGATTATTGTATATCACAGGGTATTATCAACATTTAGTGAATATTAACAAGAGAACTGTAAGCAGAGGGATTAGTATTTATGCTGCATCTCAGATGATCAAAGTTGGAAACATGTGATGTGCTGCTTTCCAGAGATAGGGAGGTTAATGTGTGCCCTGCATGTACGCCTGTGTCTGTGCCTGCATCTGTTTCCCAGGCGTGGATGGTTATGTACGAGTGTGTAATGCAGCATATCCTTTAACTATACCTATCAGTGTACATTTGCGTGAATATGTAGTGGTGCGCCTGTCTGCATCTGTTTGTTTTCCATGCACTTATTTTACAAGCATTGCGACAGGACTTGTCGAGTAGGTTACGTACAGTATCCACACACAGCACATTGTTGAGTAGCCTCTGGCTGCTGCTCACACATCAGACAGTATGGGAATCGGAGTCTGACACCAATTATGCAGAAACGGTGGGAACTTGTTGCTAAACCCGACATATCAGTGGGTTGCTGTTTCTCCTCTGCATCATCTGTAGCTCAAGGCTGTGCATGTGTGTGCGTGCGTGCGTGCGTGCATGTGTGTGTGTGTGTAAAAGGGATGAGGACACTAAAAGCACATAAAGTACCATGATGACTGGGAAAGAGATTGCCATTCAACTCAGTGAATTTAGAATGGTATTTTGAGAAAATGACTACTGGACAGATTTATAATAAGCTAAGCTTAAGCTTGTGGACAAAATAATAGAATCAACAGAGATTTACAGACTCCGCTCTTCAAAAAAAAATTAGCTTAAGTACTGTGTGAGGATTTTATTACAAGAACTGCAACTTCAAAACTAAAATGATTGAAACATGAAGGAGAGTGTCAGGAAATTGCTTTGGGGGAAAATAGTTGTCAGTTGTTCATAATTAAATTGTTTCCATAATAGTTTCTCATGTTAACGCACTGAAGTATTTAAATGTTCACATCATGGAGACTACAATACATTTTTGGATACATGTGCCTTGTTAAATGTTTTTGCTTGAGCATTTCTCAGTGGGAAATGCATTTGAAGCAACTTTAGAGACAGTGTTTGCTTTGCTGTAATAATTCGAAGAAAAAAAAAACTGTTGCTGTTGTGATAAATGCTCACTTTGTGTGTGAAGCATGTGAGTTTAGTCCAACACAATTTTTACCAAATACTTTCTTGATTTTAGCACAGCTTCATCTCAATGCATTCCACTGTAATCTTTTATTTTGAAGACATGCGAGACAGCAATGTATTTCAGAGAAGGAAAAAAAAAAAGCATAAATTAATTGAGCTGATATGTTTTATGATTTCTTGTAAGTATTTGAAACTATTGAGATACATAATACAGTTTGTCTTTAAAGAGCCTGTCCAAAACACATACAACACTTACACATGCTCACACGCAGGACTCCAGACGATATGTCATTATGAAGCCGCTGCATTGAGGCTGGCAAACTTCGACACACACATACACAACTACAGTGCATTTCACATCCAGTGGACCACCAGCTGGCTGACAGCTGTCTAAGCAAAAAGTGAAAGGTAGATGTTTTGACAGCATCATCTTTCTGATGTCTAGACTGAAACTATTAAATGCCATGGCAGACATATCTGCTTGACTGACACTGTGGAACATCCATTGAATGTTCTGGATCTGGCGTCTGTGATTCACTTTAAATGTTATTTGTTTCCTTGCTTTATATTTGGCCTGCCCTGTGTTTCTGTCTTTCCTCTGTTCTTATTGTCTCCTTTAATCACATTATTACCTTGTGTGCATTGATTCTTTTAAATACTCAGTAGTTTGAATTAATCCATTTATTTCCTCCTCTTTAGATCTGACTCATCCTTTTTCTTTTACGTTTTAGAAATTGTGATTTGTATTGCTCAAAGCCTCGACTTATTCTTTTTTTTTCTTCTGTTGTTCTATCATTCTATTTAATTTTAGCCTGCATACAAAAAGCAAAACAAAATACTGAACCTTGATCGTAAAACATGGAAGATGCAGAAGGTTTTTCCAAATACCCTAATCCGTATACCACCAACGTTATGTGTCAGAACAAATGGAGTCCAGATTTTTCTCCTGAGTAAAGCTGTTAATGGAAAAACTGTGAGATATGGGCTAGAATTGCCTTCCATTAAAAAGACCCAAGGCTTGTTTGAAGAAAATGAATGCAAATAGGAGGTGACAATATTCAGAGCTAGCTTTTAATTTTTCAATGAGAAAATAAACAGTTCTTTGTCTGCCTGAGGTTGTTTTCTGTAAGGCTGAATTGTAAGGAGAGGTGCATGGGGGTTAAAGTCTTAATTCAGAGGGAGTGTCATCTATCAGCAGTCATGGCTTCTAAAGTATCCTATCCGTGTCTTTTACAGTCTACATTTCCTGGTTTTCCACACGGAGGAGGTCCACGACGTGCTTCGGATCTGGGATGGGCCCCAGGATGGAGGGGTCCTGCTGAGGGAGCTGAGTGGTTCAGTGCTGCCCCCGGACGCCCACAGCACCTTCAACACTGTCAGCCTGCAGTTCACCACAGACTTCTTCACCAGCAAGCAAGGCTTTGCTCTGCAGTTCTCTGGTGAGGAGGAAGGATGATGGGAGGGAGGTGAAAGAAATGTTAAAGGAACATGGGTTAGATGGCTGGGTGGCAGCTGGGTGTAGAAGAGAGACAAGGTTTGTGACAAGGACTGTGAACTATGATCATAATATTCTATCATCTTAACTGAGGAACATTTTCATGTCGTGTCATTTCATGTCATGTCATCACTGATTGGTTCTCGTCTTGCTCCTTTAGTCTCCACTGCAACCTCCTGCAATGACCCGGGCATGCCTACTAATGGTACCCGCAGCGGAGACAGCAGGGAACCTGGAGACCATGTGGCGTTCCAGTGTGATCCTGGCTACATCCTGCAGGGGGCCAACAGGATCACCTGCACTGAGATTAACGGCCGCTTCTTCTGGCAGCCAGACCCTCCTACATGCACAGGTACTCTATCAACACAGCATGTAATCATCAATGATAGCTAACGCTACATGCTACAAAACTACGATCAGAACTAGTCTAGACTCCACCATTTCATATGATCCTATAATGTTCAAATTGGAAAGGTCAATAAATAGACTGCTACCATTTTTCAAAATACTACACTGGAGCTAATTTTTCAGAATACTCCTGCTTAGGAAATACAATATATTTCTTAAAATTCTATGTGTAAATTAATGTGCCGATAAGATTTTATATAACACAATCACTAAAGACAGAAGAGACCAGTATAAAAGTAAAAGTTATCTTATAAGGCATATTATGCCCCACAACCTGTCTAATGCAGTGAATGGTATAACCTTTCTTGCTGGTCTGACTTTTGTGAAACAGGTAGACGGCGCAGATTCCTAATGTGATTACTTAACAGACTCCTTAAGTGAATCTCAATTGGCAAACCCGATTGGCATGTTCCCTAGACATTTCCTGAAGTCACTGCAGCAGACAGAGAGATCTGATTATCCTCTTCCTCAATAATAACACCGACCTCTCAGTCAGACCTCTACTCTTTACAATCTCCTTTTTTTTTTTTTTTTAATATATGATCACACTTAGTGCTGTACAAAACAATGTGGAGTAATTAACAGTGGCAATTAAGACCTTGTAATTAATGTGCCTTGTTTAATTAGTGCTTAGCTTAATTAGTTTGATCATTTTTTTTGGTGAGAGGTGGGACAGTTCAGCTCTCTGACACTTACAGGTGAGAACGTGGTAAGCTAGTGTCTGTGGGCATTAGCTACGTCTCAATTAAGCATCTGTCACTACTACACCTTCCTGTGGGGAAGCCATACACCACATACAGCGGGATATAAAGCAGGATACAGCAGGACTACTACCACTACTTTAAAACCTTTAGAAACTTTATGTAGCTATTCAAGTCATACTACTTGTTTTCTGTTCATTGTTTAGATTAGCAGTTGGCTGTCACTCAACTCATTTCAAATGTAGCATCATAATGAATTTGCTACATGAAAGTTAAAAAAAAAAAAAATCATTAATATTAATATGGCAGACTAAATCACTGCTTTCAAGTGTAAATAAAGACTGTTTAACTTGGAAATTATTATATATCATCTTAATATGATTTCTTTTGTGGTCCAATAGGTTTTTGGATTAATATTCAATAGCTTTCAAAATTCCATTGTTGTTTACTGTCGGAGTTACTACTGTGAATTCTAATCAGTTGATCTCTTTTCAAAGCTCCATGTGGCGGAAACCTGACAGGTCCCAGTGGGCTGATTCTGTCTCCAGACTATCCTGAGCCTTACCCTCATGGGAGGGAGTGTGACTGGACAGTTACTGTCACACTGGACTATGTCATCGCTCTGAGCTTCAACCAGTAAGCGTCAATATTATAAAAGCTACAACCAACATTTTCACTGTCTAACTGAAGTTTGCTATCATTGCTGTGTAATTATTCTCCTCTATCACAATAACTATGTTTTAATTGGCAACAAAACACAAAGAAAACATTTTAAGTTACCATACTTACAGCTAATCTAAGATGCAAATATTCTATTATGCCATGTAAACTTCTATTACCAGGTTCAGCTTGGAGCCCAGTTATGACTTCTTACATATCTACGATGGGCCGGACTCCCTCAGCCCCTTGCTGGGTAGTTTCTATGGCACAGACGTTCCAGACCGCATTGAGAGCAGTTCCAACACACTGTTCTTAGCATTCCGCAGTGATGCTTCCCTAAGCAGTAATGGATTTGTGCTGCAGTACACAGGTGTGTTATTTTTGATTGTAGCATGGCATGTTTGTTAACAGGACAAAACTAACAAAACTATTCATCTAGTGGAAACTTGGATTTTATGTGTCTGCGTTAAAATTCTTTATAATCAGTTTTTTCATCTCCAGTGTCTTAGGATTCTGAACAAAACAGTGAATTTTTAAATAGTTTGTGAGGTTTTATCCCCTGAACAATTCACATTTAAAAATTCTTCTTCTGGCACAGTGAGAATGGATTTACCCTCTGCTGCTTATCGACCTTGCAGATTGTTTCTTTTTAACTTCGTCTTGTGTCTAGTCCAAAATGAGTGAGATTAGTGGTGTGAAAATTGCTTCAGAAAAAGAATGGGGTGCTGCAGCGTGCTGATCACCACCCTCCCATTTGTGCCATGGTCTGCTTGGTCTGCTTGGGCATCATTATTGATCCGTACCTCCTCTAGTTGCAGACTAACACGAAGAATTATGAAAATGAAAAGCTGACAGCATGTGTGCTAAAGCTCTTTTTGATAAGTGCTTTGGAGCTGCACAAAAGGCTTCTCATAAATTAGAGCAAACAATGTTGTGTTGTCTCATGTCTAAGCTTAGCTGACCGCAGCATGCTGTTCGGGGGACACAAATGTTGATTTTCTCACACGAGGTATTCTGCACTGCATTCAAGGTGCAGAATGATCACAGACATCCTTGACAGAGGGCCAGCTGTTTTAAGGATAACACAAAACATCTGTGTTTTCCGCATTTGTGTTTCAGACAGTCACGGGAGCGCCTCAGTGCCTGTGTGTTGAACCCTTTTCCTAACAAATATACAGACGCTGAACAAGGTCTAAATTAGACAGGGCATCTTCGTTAAGGGCTTTGCTTGAGAGAACAGTGTTAAATCTTTCTAAATCTCTCAGCTTCAATTAGAGCTGTTTAAGGTATCAGGCATTTAACCAATTCCAGATCGACCATGAGCTCTCTGTTTCTTGGCTGGTATCCAGATGGGATTTGAACTATACAAGCCACTCAACTGATCTTCAAATGTTTATGCGATGCAGCTCTGCGATTCATTCGCAAACTGTACATAAAGATGGGGTGAAACACAATCTTTTGGTGAGACATCGTTACAGAGCCTTCCCCTTAACTCACTCCCAGCACTGCAGTGTGTGTTAATACAGTGTGTGATATTGTATGGCCAATCTGGTAGAGCAGATGGACCCAGTGTGTGGCTCCGAAAAACTCCCTCTCCCCACTTCCAATTCTCCACACTAATGAACCATAACCAAATAATACATAAATTACCTCCTCGGTTTCAGACAAACAACATGGCACAAAAGCATGTTTGGCTGCAGGTTTGGGTCTGTTTGGTGAGGAAGCAGCAATTGACGAGTTGGCCCAGCTAGTATTTGGTCGGTCCGCCACTGAAAATTGCATTACAAAATCAGCCTGAGGTGCTTTTTAGCCTCTTTATCATGCAATTGTCAAGTTTTTCTGTTTGCGTGTGTCTGGCTGTGTCTGATTGGGCAACATGTTGGCAGAAACTTTCCATGCCTGAGCCACATTTGAATACACATAGACACAGACATGGATAGACCAACACAGACAAAACACACATACAGGCACCTCCACACTCACATCTGTCTAATCCAATAACGTCACAAATGCCTCGGCTCATTTTCACTTCACATCACATCACCTAAACTCCTTTGAGTATTTTCCAAAACAGATGATGCCACTCGTCCATTTTCTCTCACACCCACAAATGTCTCAGGGCAAGGCTGACTAAATCAGCCGTCTTCACCGTGGCAACCGACCTCCGAGTCCTCACCACTAGCTTGTGTCTGGGGCCAGTACACACCCGGTGCCCGGTACATCCGTCACGCCTCCACTGTCTGTTGCCAGGTGCGCCGGTTTAATGATGGCGGCGACAAGGGAAGGTTTAGGTCTAAATCAGCCCATGAAAGGGCTCAACCTGTCTGGAACAGGTGTCCTGGGTGACAGACAGACAGGCCACATGGCTGGCCTCAGCATTCTGCTCAGCCATGAAGGGCAGCATCCTGCCTGGTCAGCAGGTCTCCAGCTCTCAGTTTATGTATTCATCCAAGGTGCCTCATACACATTATATCATCGATAAATAATTAAAACTTTACTAAGGTATAGACCTTGTTATAATTATAGTAGACACAGAATATTATGCAGGAAATATGTCTGTTGTTTTATAGCACAAAAGACATTTGCTCATTTCAAATGTATCTTCACAAAAAAAAAATTTTGCTGGCGCTCCTCCTGTTGGGTACCATTCACATTCATGGTGCGACTTGAACCCTTCTGTAAATGAGCAGATGGTGGAACAAAGAAAACATGTAAAAAATCACTTCCGATATGTTGTACCTCTTCAGTAATGTTAGACAGAAAAATCAAAACAGAAAAGTGTTTCCAAGGAATCTAACATTTTAACTCTGAGACCAGAACATTATAGCTCTTGTCTCAAAGACTTTGCTGACATCCCTATTGACCTTCACAAATGATTGCTTTTAAAATATGAACTTTTTTATTTTTCGGAATTTCAATTTTTATTAGTTTTTGAATGGCTTGGTACATGGCTATTGTCTCCAGGATACAGGACTCATGGCGCATTTTTTTATATTATGAAGGCAGACTCCAATACATAAACCTAGAAAGAGATAAACAAATAAATGATCCAGATCGATCCTGAAGGAAAAAAAACTAAACATAACAGAATGAAACAATAACAGAGGGAACACGTGTCATATATACTGTGTATCTTGTGTCATACTGCAGGATCACATAGCCAAAGAGGAGACTGATATCTATTTCGACCTATCTTCCATTTTAATGTAAGCCCAGAACCAGTCCCAATGATACACCCATTCCTCCTGATCACCACTTATTCTACTAAGCTTACATTCATAAGATGATATTTTTCCACAATTGCACTAACCCTCTTTCAGTTCTGGAGCCGGGAGTTTTCTACCAACGTCTTAAAATAACTTTAGAGATTGTTATATATATTATAGCCACAATAATAACAGAAAATGTACTTCAGTATGTTTCTGAATCAAACCAGCTACTTAAAATTCGTAATACCTCGAACCAAAGTGGTCTGACTAAAATACATTCCCATATAAAGTGCAGAAAAGTTCCTATTTCAGTTTTACATTTCCAACACAAATCATTGTTCAACAACTTCATTCTGTGGAATCTCAATGGAATGTGATAGTATCTATGCAGTATTTTATACTGTGTGAACTTTCCCCCTCGCTACTCTCACTTGCCACATCCAGCCACAATTTTAGAACATTTATCTCATTCAATTTCTTTTCTCCGAGAAGAAAGACGGTGAGTTGTAAGTTGACGTTTTACTGACAAAAGAAAAAATTTGACTCATCTTCCTTTTTGTATTTGTGTGTGTGTGTGTGTTCAATCATCAAATATTGAAGTTTGCTGTGAGACCTGAGTGGTCTGCGTTAAAGATTGAACTAAATTGCTTTGGGCATTTTTCCTATGTTTATTTTAGCTGTAAGGGTGTGAAGTGTGCCAAATTGACAGGTCTCCTCTCACATGCACATTTTCCATCTGAGAACAATGTGATGCTAGATTGAGCGAGACATCTTTCTTACGACCTCAGGAGTGGTGATTGATATGTGGTTAGATATAGTGTGTGTGTTTGTGTGCGTGTGCGTGTGCGTGTGCGTGTGCGTGTGCGTGTGTGTGTGTGTGTGTGTGTGTGTGAGAGAGAGAGAGAGAGAGAGAGAGACACAGCAAGAAAGCTTGCGTATGTGCATTGTCTTGTCTCGAGTTGACTGCACAGCAGAGGATAGTGTGAGGAGCAGTTGTGTGCAGTCAGCAGACCTTGGGCCAGAGCAATGCCACTCTCAATCAGCTGCCTGTCTGTCTCCACAGCCATCCATACCTCCAGCAGCCACAGATGAGAGGGCACCGTCAAGGATTAGAGAGAAAAGTGGCAGTCAGTGAGATATATTTACTGAAAGAGGAAAGCGCAGAGTAACAGGGAAAAAAGGAACGAGCAAAGGAAGGAAGAGATCAGAGATTATCAGGGACCTTAGGCAGAAAACAATTTCTGTTCTAGCATCAGCGCTGCAGCTTGACGCAAAAACCCGTTTATTAAATACCAACATGCGTTCCCTTCTGTCACTGATTTTCCACCGTGTTACCTCTCTACACAGAGAACCCCAGGGAGTCTTGCTTCGAGCCGGGCCTGGTGCGCAACGGGACACGGGTGGGCACCGACCTCAAGCTGGGCTCCACTGTCACCTACCACTGCGACAGTGGCTACACACTAGAGGGAGACCCAACCCTCACTTGCATCATGGGGGGAGATGGCAAGCCGAGCTGGAACAAACCCAAACCCATCTGCATTGGTAAACACTGACATCTGGAGACGGTTGTTAGGAACACAAACCACATCAGTGCTTATAGATTTATCACATGTAAACACGCATGTTTGATTATGTGGTTTTCAGCACAGATCTGTGTCCTACAGGTATATGTGTAGAGCTGTGTGGGTTTTGCTAATGTTAATAAATGCGAGGGTGTAGCTTTAATTTAATCTGCAGTTTGAAGGCAGCAGCTACTTATTTTGCATATCTGCTCCTCACACTCACAGCAAAACCTACGTCATCCTGGCTGTTTGCTGACATTCCCACGACACTTACTAACACGCGCTGTGGAAAGCTGGTAAAAGAGCCCCCACATTGAATTTGGCTCTCACAGTGTGAAGTTATATGGCAGGTGGAATACGTGCACATTTTTCGCACAAGCAAAAAAAAAAAAAAAAAGAAGACATTCCCATACATGGGTTAAGCACTTATACAAAGATACGAGCACGCGCAGAGCATCCGGGCCTCATCTCATCCAGGCTAACCCTGAGGGACACTTGGAAAACATTGCAATTTCACTGTGGCAAACACCAGGGACGTCTTCCACCCAAAGCCCAATCAGACAAGAAAAGTAATTTAGGAGTGATGGAACAGAGAGGATGGAAAAGCAAGAGGGTCGGGGAGAAATGGAATCTTGCACTCCTGGCTTCAGACCTTCCTTCTGTGTTTGTCCTGTCTCTTAATGTCTAATCTTTGTGTCTGTCCAGCTCCATGTGGTGGACAGTACTCAGGTTTGGAGGGAGTGGTCTTGTCTCCTGGTTACCCTGGAAACTACAGCAACGCACGAACCTGTCTGTACTCTGTGGTCGTACCCAAGGATTACGGTAAGCCAAGGAAGAGTGCCGTGTTATTGAATTTGGCCATTTTTTCAGACAGATTTTTAATTGTGCATGTTAGTGCCTGTGAGAGTAATCATGCGTCTTTCTTTAAGATGCACAAACTGCCCTTATTAGGCTCACTAAATTCTGCACATATTTCACTGCTGAAAATAAACTAGACTTTTTCTTTTTCCACACGAATATTCTTAGTGACAGGTGTGTAGGAGAAAACAAGTTTGTGGAAAACTTGTAAAAGCTCCCACACACACCTTCTTCTTTAACTCATAATTATAGTGCTTTAGTCAGAGGTTGACTAAATGCATTTTCTTCATATTTTTCTATACACGGTAAAATCACACAGTGATTGATAGTTCCCATATTCATCTGTCTCAATGCCATACATATATTTTCGCATTACTTTAGTGGAGCAATTTAATCACTGTCTTACACATTAGGCATAGAATATCTGTCTGAGACACACACACATACACATGCACACACACCAAAAAATAATTGGGTGTCTGGAAGATCCAGAGTTCCTGGAGTTTCACTACTTTTTTGGCATTTCCATCTTAAAGGTCATAGCTTGCTTTCAATATGTGATCTGATAGTGTGGGAGCAGCAAATTATTCAGAAAGCAAAAATAAAAAAAACAATGCAGGGGTGTGACACAGCTCAAACATGAAAAATCAAAAATGTTTCAGTTGCTCATTTACTTGCCCATGATGTCTCTCTGCTTAACTCGCTCCGTCTTTCTCTCTTTTCATCTTCTGCTTCTTCTCCTCCTCCTTCTGCCTCTTTAATGAGTTATCAGCATAGTGTCTCTCTAAGGGAAAGCTCATGTCCTGTCATTGTTAAATTACACCAAACAGCAGCAGCCGGCATGTGTTTAGCTTTGGGGCTCTTCACCCCAGTCTTTTTGAATGTCGAGGTCACGATGCCCATTCGGAGGTACGGCGCTGTTCCAAAATGGCTGGGCACCCATCCTTGTCTCCTTGGATCCTGTCGGCAACATATTTCGCTCAGTGAAGTGAAAGTGAGGGAGGAAGTTGAAATAATTAAAGTCCACATTTGCATTTTCCTGGAAAATGACAATGAGGCCCGGGGCAACACACTTTGTCGTGCAGAGCCACAAATGCTCTGGCCTCCATTCTTCTCATTAGGCTGATGCACCGACCCTAATGATATGCTATTTTCCCCAAATGTAGAGGACAGGGCAGGTGTCACTGCAACCACAGGCTTCTCTTACAATAGCTACAGAGGAAGAGGATGTACAAGTAACAGAAACCACTGAGGATGAGTAGGAGATGACAGATGCTGAATCATGTTGAACACGTATAACTCAGAGGATAAGGTCCCGCCATCACTCCTAATGGAGAACACTAGTCCTCTGTCCCCTCTGCCCTCTTCCTCTCTCCCTCATCCTCTTCATACTTCTATTTAAACGACAATATTCGCCAAAAGTAAACTAGACAAAGATTGGATGTGACAGGACTAAATATGTTCAGGCGATAGTGGTAGAAAGAGTGGGTTGAGAGCATGAAAGCACCATAGTGGAGCCTGCACATTGTACAACAGATGGGCTGTCATTGCTGAAGCCTGTCATCTACTGACAAGCCATCTAGCCCAGACAGGATTGCTGATCTCCCTGTGTAATATCAATTTTTGGTTGTGTTGTCATAACTGCTGGCATTATCCACCTCGCTTTCAAGAAGACAGTTTGATTGAAATTGCTGTTGATAATATTCTTTTGGATGTGGATACTACAAAGTACTTTTTTTTTTATGGGTTTTCTGTGTCATTTCAAATGGATTTGAGAGTTTTTCAATGTGACTCTGATGAAGTGACTAATTCTAGCTAATTTCACTTTCCTCTCATGTCATTTTTTTTGTCCATATCTGTCTTTTCTAGTTGTCTTCAGCCAATTCGCCTTCTTCCAGACCGCTCTGAATGACATTGTGGAGGTTTATGATGGGGCAACGCAGCATTCCCGTGTTCTTAGCTCCTTGTCTGGAGCTCACACAGGTACTTAAACACAAACATGCATTATCAGACGCCTGCATGCAGACACATTTTGTGTAGCCTCTGTGTTTCAGTAAAAACATCAGGGAGGTGGAAAACAGAAGCAATTTAAATGGAACTGCAGGTAGGCAGAAAGCGATTCACACATGCTTGTGTAGCTTTTATTTCATATTCAGACCTAGCTTGTAACAAATCAGCAAATTTGATTTGACTATTTGATCTTCCAGACAATATTTTTTGACACGACAGGAGACTAAATAAAATGTTGTCTTGGCCTTATGCCTTTCATAAGCATCCAGTTAAACTTGGAGAGAAATTGCTGACACAGGCAGAGCTGCCATGGCTGCAGGTGGGCTCCAGTGAGCTGTAAAACAATCCAGCAGTGACAACAACAACTTAAAGAGTCACAGGGATAACACATCAGCAGACAGGCTCAAGAAGACTTGCATGCATACACACGTGAATTGGTATTGCACAAACACATGTCTCACACACACACACACACACACACACACACACACACACACACACACATACATATATATACACGCAAACACTAGGTTTAAGCCAGGGAAATGGTTTTCTGTCTCCCATCCTCAAGAAAACCAACTGTGCATTTTTAGCATGAAACAAAGACAACTACTAAAAGCTGCATTAACATTACCAGCTATTATAAATAATGAATTTCAAACTGGAAGCATCGGTATTAAGTTAATATTGCCTCAACTGTTCAGCTTGCAGCTGTTTATTCATCACTGGAACAGCTGAATAAATCCTGACCAAAATTGCTGCCACTGCATGCGGTAATTACCTCAAATAAGCAGACAAACAATGGCCACATGCCTTAACAAATTGTTGTAATACCTTTATTTTTTATTATATCATTAAAAACAATTTCATATAATTAAACAAATATTACCGAATGACAACAAAAAACATGCGATCATACCATTTTGTGATTAATGTTTCACAGTTAAAGCTTCGGTTACGGTGCGAAATCCCATGAAAAGCCATGAAATATTCATTTGAAATATCACAAGAAAACACTTAACCAATCTTGTGAGAAACATCTTATTAACTACTCTATTTCCCAACCCAATGCTGTGACCCCAAACCATTTCCAAAATCTACTCATTGCCATAATGTACTTTGATCTCATGAGCCCTCCTTTCCAAAAAGATGTACAACAGAGGTACAGCACAGATGCACACAGATAAGAAGTGAAAAGAGCAGTTACTGTATGTGAGAAGATGGAGACAAAAAAAAGGATAACAGTTGAAAGGTGAAAAGTGAGAAGGTGAAGGAGAAGGAATGATTTGTGTTGCAGCAGTGTTGTAAAATTGCGGATGCATGGGTGTGATAAATGCCACAGCTGTGTTGACGGGCTACAAAAGAAATAGCTCAAGTAGTGGGAGGTTCAACGTTTGAAGAGCGTGCGAGTGAAAAGGTGTGTGAGTTTAGGGCAGCTCTCCATCTCAGCCTGCCCTAGCCCTGTGGCTTGACAAAAGCAAAATGATTACTTTGGTTTGTGTCCAGGGCAGCCTCAGAAAATCCAGTTTACAGCTCAATAAACAGGACGCTATATTAACTGCGGACTCCTGGCGGCAGGTTCACAGAGCTCTCTAACCAGGCATGGCAGAGCAGAGCTGACACAATTTGGCAAGGGAAGAGAGACTTTTTGCCCACACAGACAGTGATGCTGAAGAACTAGTAAATGTGGGCATAACTGGCATGAATTAGGCATAATCCAGAAGTGTGTACCTGTACTGTCTCCTATACAGATTCGTTGAAGCTCACAAATTGACTGACATACTGTATCTGCAAACTTATAAATCAAGGAATTCACCCATGTAGTCTAAATGTACAAGCTGTCATTATGTGCAGTAAATACATTGTCGGGTAATGAGCATTTTAGTGGTTTGTGGGATATTATTTGTCATGCGGTGTAAGTTACATGAGCCAAAATACAAGGCAATGTGCTGTGATTACGCTAACCTTGAAAAGCACATGACATTAAACCAGTCCCGAGTACAGTATGTTTTCATTACTGTCACGCGTTGTGAGGCAAATCACTCTTTTTGAAAAGAAAAGGCAATGATTTTGAATTATCGGAGGCTGTAGCGACAAACAGAGTAAAGTGAGAGAAAAGGGGAGAGTGGAATTAAATGAATGATAAAAGGTTGGAATTAGAAAAGAAAAGGAGACAGCGTGTTGGAAGGAGGGACAAAAGGACTGGATCAAGAAATCAAGGAGACTTATCAAAATGCTAATTTTTGAATTGATTAAAAAAAAAAAAAAAAAAAATGTCACTCTCTTGGCCATCAGCGGTGACAAGGGAATCCATTTTTATTCAGCTATATTCAAGTTTGACCACTTTTATCATTAATGCTACTTTTGTGTCAGTGCAAGCACGCTGTTGAATAAATGCAAAACATGAATTCATAAAATGTAAAATTCACTTCCTGTAGTCCCCGCTGGGCTAACTCTGTTTTTAACTCTAAACCCGTTTGAATTGTGGTTTAACAGCTTGAGTGTTAATCTCTGGCATTGTTCCCCATGACTGTTGTGTCTGAATCAGTGCACACCAACAACTGCCACTGAATTTTGACTATTGACTTCCAGCCAAAGTCATATCTGTCCTTGTGAGTCTTTCATATTGCCAGCATAGAGGATCTTTTTAAGGGCAAAGCGGTTTGGAGCTGGAGAGTGGCCAGAGGGGTTGATAAGTTACATGCTGACACATGTTTGATCTGTCTGGATGAATACCTGCGCCGCACAGCAAATTATGAAACACTGTCACCATGACAGCACGCAGCAAGGGCTTCCTCTAATAAACTACCCAGCATGCCTTGGGGATCCTACAGTGGAACTTGAACAGTCTGGTGATGACGCATGAAGAAACTGTACCATTGGAGCTATCTCAGGACACTGCACTTAAAGGCGCAGAAATATTCACATAGAAAAAATGTGAGCAAAAACATGCATGCACAGGAGAGACTCACTGACACACACATACACACACACAGACACACAAATGTAGCCTCTGGGGTTAAGCACGTCTGCCTCCCACTACAATGTGACAGCAAGCAGACGCAGAGTAATGAGATCCACTGCAGAGAGCCAGTCAGCAGCACACTGAGAGAAAGACAGAGAGGCAGAGACAGAGATGCTCACACTTTATATCATGTTCTGTGTCAGTCAACAAATAGTTTTCCACCACAGTAGATACACCATGTGGGTTTTTCTTGTGTTTAATTACACTGCTACACTAAGCTGATGAGGATAGCAGGAGATCATATCACCAATTTCAGTGATAAGATATTCGTTTTCTGAGGATTTTATCTGCAGTGAGACATTTTAAATTTTGGCACTGATAAATGTTCTTGGAGAAATAATGCTAAAGCAGCCCCAAGAGGTACTGAGCTCCTAAATTTCTGAATAAATTGTCTAGTAGTTTATGTATATAGCATCTTGCAGAGAAAACCTCACTTTTCAGTTGAAAAATAAATTTCACCCACAGACCAAACAAAACACTAACGAAAAGCCCGTCTGCTCAAATAGATTCTCAGATGCCATTTAAAGCTCAATTCACACCCGACTGGTCGAAAGTCTGTTGGCTGTTCCTCAACCTGGCAGCTACAACAACAAAAGCTCAATCACCTTTTGGTCTTTAATTATGACAGATGGAAAGCCACTAAGCCGTGGTCAGGTGACCTTACATTCCTGCCTGTGCAGTGTGCCATTAAGACTTCCTGAATGTAAGCAGGAGCTTGATTGTGGAGAGCCTTACGCAGCAAGTGATAAATCCAACCTTGAATTTGATTCTGTATTTCACACACAGCCAGTGAAGTAAAACCAAGAGGGGAAGGGTGGTGGGGGGTGGGGTGGGGGGTCTGATCTCTGCAGCTGGTTCTACAGCACTCAGGGGTGTCACTGCACCAATTTAACCCAGCTGCAGACTCTCCAGTAATTATTTGTTAATTGGGAATGTGAGCAACAGTTGGGGCTGAGAGTTACAATGGTGCAGCCATGACATGACAAAGAAATTAACTGTAAATTAGAAGTATATCTGAGCTGGGAAAAACAAGAACAGGACAGTGAGTTGACAAAATGTTCGAGGCTCATGTGGTGATCAAAAGTAACTTCTGAGCTCCCAGAACATGTCGTTTTATGGGCAGACTGCAGTCAGACGCGATGATATCAGTGCCAGTAATCAGGACTCCCATTTAGTCGCAATGTAGCTGAAGGAAATTGTTGGCTATCCGATAAGCATCGCAGATAAGCGCAGTCCTGTATGACCGTAAAATATTAGGCTAATCTTAATAACCACCATGCATTTGCATATCGTGATATGCTCATGATGCCTTATAAGCATGTTATATTTTCATCACAGTCGGTCCTTCTGTCTGTCTGCTTCACTGAAATCAGATATCTACACTCTTTATTTATTTATTTATTTGCACTTTCCTGCAATGCATCACACAAGGAGAGGTTCTAAATGTATTCTCAGAGATATCTGCAGTTTGTCATGTTTCACACAGTCATTAGCTATTAGTCCTCTTACTTTGAATTTTCATGCTGCTTGAGTCCCTAAAATAGTCACTAACATTCACACCTAAATTCTTTTGTTCTAGACCGATGAGGAGAATGTTTGTTAGTTAACTGCATGTGTTTAGATGTTAATTAGGTATCAAGTAAGAGTCGTCTGTACCCACACAAATATAAACCAAAGGCAGCACTTAAATGTTAAAAACATTACAAACTATGCCTTTAACTTTTCCCTACCTCAGGTGAGTCGTTGCCGTTAGCAACCTCCAACCAAGTCCTGATCCGCTTCACCTCCAAAGGTCAATCCAGCTCTAGAGGATTCCACCTGGTCTACCAGGGTAAGTTTGTAACACACCGGCACACACACCCACACACACACAAATCCTGGAGTCCCTCTGTTCTAACAGCCCCAGTTCCTCTCCATAATAGATGACTTGCTGAGTGATTTCGCAAGGATTCACCTTCAGCCACTGTTTCAGCTGTGACTTACTTGTGTTTGTGTGTGCGCGTGTGTGTGTGTGTGTCGGCATGTCGGCAGAAGTGTGTGATCTGGAGCATTAACTCAGTAGAAGTATGGCGGTGTGTTGAAAAGGTTGTGCTTAAACTCCCCGTTTCATCTAGTCCCCTTAGAGGGACTTATCTCTTGAATTGTTATTTTTTCTTAAACAATGCAGTGTACCAGAAATGGCATTTGCTGCAGATATCCACAGGCAACGGCAGCTCTGGAGGAAATTTAATGAATAAATAATTCATTTTTGCATTTTATTGTAAGTAAGCTGAAAGAACCACGAGGCAAAGAAAAAACTGAATATCATATTTTGTTTTATCTATTAGGGACACACTGATCATACTGACACTGATAAAGTAGTGAGATTTATACAAGTTCCCACACAAAATTAAGTAGAAAGCTCTTTTTCAAGCTTTCAACATAGATAAATGTTACAGGTAATGACTCAAAATCAGAACACTCTCTCTCTCTCTCTCTCTCTCTCTCTCTCTCTCTCTCTCTCTCTCTCTCTCTCTCCCCCTCTCTCTCTCTCTCTCTCTGTTTTTCCAAAGCTGTGCCACGGACCAGTGCCACCCAGTGCAGCTCAGTCCCCGAGCCCCGAAATGGCCGCCGGATGGGCAACAACTTTGCTGTTGGCGCAGTGATCCGCTTTGAGTGCAGCCCAGGATACATGCTGGAGGGATCAAGTGCCATTGAATGTTTAACCGTTCCCAATGCCTTGGCACAATGGAACAGCTCCATACCCAGCTGTATAGGTGGGGCATGAACACTCAAACACAGACACACTCGCACTCATTTTAAGCATTCACCAGTCAGTGTGGTTGTTTTTGTTTGTTTCTTTTTTTTTCTTCCTTTGTTAGTTTCTTCATTAGTATCTTTGTTCTTTTCTTTCTCTACTTTGTTTCCTGCCATGTCTTGTGTCTCTGGCTCTCTCTCACTCGATAACTCGAGTGTCAAACTCTTGTTAGTCTGACACAGATGTGGGCTGCCAGCCAGTGCCTGTAGCAACATAGTGAGATTTAGCCATGCAGCACACAGGTAACAGGCACTGCTGAGGGTCACATATACACACACACACACACACACACACACATGTATCTACAGAGATACACTCACACACACAAGATACAGCTGTAGCAGATGCTCCTACACTGTTACCAGATGTGTAAATGTGCAGAACAAGCTGGGGAGACAGTGTTTGAAGATAATTTGTGTGTCCAATGTGTGTGTGTGCGTGCGTGCGTGCGTGCGTGCGTGCGCTTTGATGGCCAGGTGGAACAGACTTGGTGTGTATTTCAGGAGCGTATTAGCATTTTGGTTGTGATTTAATGATTTAGGTTTAGTGAAAGATGTATCAAGGTACTGCTGACACAACTCATGTCTTTTCAACTCTCGGCTTTTATCCTGCAGTTCCATGTGGAGGAAATCTGACCCATCGAACAGGCACCATCTTGTCTCCCGGCTTTCCTGAGCCGTACCTCAACAGCTTGAACTGTGTGTGGAAGATCACTGTTCCCGAGGGATCAGGAATCCAGGTTTGCATAACAGAGTTTTCTTCCTGGCATCAGCATACGTCCTGGGTGACAGCTTTGTCATAATCAAGATGTGTTAAAATTAGTGAAATCCCTTAGTCAATCATAGGCATTTTTCAGCTGTGATTCAGCTCTGTTAACAACAAAGTATAAATTCATTACATCCCCTAACCCACCCCAAACCCAATCCTACTTTCTCCAATCCACACACAACCCAAAGAAGCAGCACACTGTGCGCACACTGTCCAGGAAATGTCAGCAGTGTCATGATATATCAAAGTAGACTTAGCTGCATGCAATATAATAAAATAGATTTAGATTTAGAATTTAAATACTGTTTTATCTGCCTGCTGTCAGCTTGTTAGTTTATCAGATAAGATTCTCCATTAATGAAAATTCTGCAACTGAGCTCCAGTGACCTATTTGTTCACTTTAAACATATGGACTAATCCCTTTTTAAAACTGTCTCTGGTCAGACTGTTAAATGAGTTAACAGATTTTATTTATCTTTAGCCTCTAGCCATTACAGCTCTGCGTGGTCTTGGGAACAAGCTCCTGTGTGGTGATATGTTTTCAGCTTACCAAGGGTACCAATTAACAGAGCTAGCCACTTTATATCAAAGTATAGCATTTACAGTTCTCTGGGTACAGGAGAGCAGCTAAATGATTCTATAGCCTTTACAGAGGCTCAGAATTTAATTTGGCAGATCACTATACCAGAAACTTAAAACCAGAAATAAATTTGTAGAATTTTCTCTTCAATTACTTTACTTTTCTTTCTTGGGAGTTAATTCAGTTTGCATATTCCTATTCTGTGATGCATGTGTGATGGAACTCCACCAGGAACCTGAGTGAGGTCCCCGTGGATCTGCCTGATGGAAAGTTTTTTAGGCTTATGCTTCAGCCTCTGTGGCTAATGACCTCAGTGCCGTCCCTCAGCTATTAGCTCCTCCATCTCAGCTGACTGTCCTTGCAGGTCAAATACCCAAGATAGCCCGCAGGCACGCTTAGCATGCTGCACAACACACTAACATTGCAATAGCTTGGAGGTGAAATAGAGGAATAAAAACTGAGATCTGACTGTACGCACACTCTCTGAAACGCAAAAGGCATGACAGTCAAATGTATAAATAATAAATGGTATGGTTCGGTAATGATGAGTTTGTGTTCATGGGCCACACACACGGTCACACACACTTCCTCGCTGAACAACGGGTTACAGCATGTGCTACCAAAATGTGAGGTGTTGACTGTAGAGGGTTTTCCGCTCTTTGTCCATGCTCTCTGCAGATGAATCCTCCTCATCCCTACTATTCCTACTCCACCTCATCTGTTTCACACCTTCATCCCCTTTCTCAGCGTCTTGTCTTTCGCACTGTTGCTCCCCGTCCACTAGCGAGCAAAGACACATTAGTTTGGAGTGTCACGATGCAGAAGAGAACTTAAAGGAGCGAGGTGCCTTGGCGGCACATTTGCCGTGGCCCCCTAATGAAAGATCAATCTGTGATCTGCCTCGTCTCCCCGGGATGTGCCAGAGCCCCTACCGCCCCTTTAATTGGCTCGTATCCGATCTATTACCATCGGAGGCAGAAGGAGAGGGCCAAGCAATGGATGTGAGAGGGAACAAAGAGGAATGCTTGGACAAAGTGAAAGAATGAACATAAAGTACTGAAGAAGTGGGTGAATTGTATCTAAACACAAAGACCAAAGATATAGTAGATGGCACAGGTTCACATATTCATTTTTACATATTAGAGGTAAGCCTACTCTACCACTTCCCTTGGCCAGCATTCAACAGCAAAATAAGTTTTAAGCTTTACCATATAGACAACCTTTGTGAGAATCCAGATTGCTATTCTTGGATGATGTGGCATCTTTTTTCTCAACAGTGGAGACTGTTAGAATAATTCTGAGCCTGCCTCTACTTGAAGAATATTCAACATTCTCTGCAGCTGTCTCACAGTTTTTTTCATTTCAAATCGAATGCCCAACACTTGAACATAGCCTTTTAAGAGAGCATTCAAACTAAGAAAAGAAAGCAAGACATTTATTTTGAAATGACTTGTGTTTTGTTCCCCTGAGAATTCTCAACTGCTGTTGCTGTTTTTCGAAATCCTTCATGGCTTTGATCAATTAATCTATCACCCTTTGTGTACTTTAAACTATATAAGAGAAAGAAAAATGTTTATATAGTTATCTTAGCCTTTCTAGAAACTGTTAACTATCTTTGTTCCTGTAAAACACTGAACAAATGCGAGGAAAAGATTGAAGATTTTTGACTTTGCATATAGAAATATCTTTGTCATGATGGGGCTGTTGTAACATTTGAACAAGAAGTTAGCTGTGTCAGGGCCTAGACTACTGCTACTCTAAATGTGAGAGTAATTACTGGTAAAATGGCCAAACTTTTAGTCCTTCATTCTCCCTTTTTCACATATACCTTTTCTGTTGCCTTCTCCCACCCATTAATCTTCTACTTAACTTTTGATTTCCCTACACATACACATTCTTAGCCCTACTCTCTAAATCCCATCCGTCTTTCTGTTTCTGTACTGATGTTTCCATTTTTTTCCTACTTGTCACTAATTATGTTCCTCCTCCATCCCCTCTTTTGGTCTGTCTCTTCCCTTTCTCAGATCCAGGTAATCAGCTTTGTCACAGAGCAGAACTGGGACTCGCTGGAGGTGTTCGACGGAGGAGACAACACTGACACCATGCTTGGCAGCTTCTCAGGTACTGCCAAATATGTGTTTGTGTGTGTGTGTGTGTGTGTGTGTGTGTGTGTGTGTGTGTACACATTTATTTTCATCCATGTTTTCATGTTAATTTTAAATGTAAAACAGTTTATACCTAAAAGCATAGTCCAGGCAACCTAATAGCCTAATGACTTCTAAGAGTAGCATCTAGAACATGGAGCATGTTCTATTTGCTCACCAGCACGTACAGTATTGAAATTGGGGGCCTTATTTGGCACAGTTGGCATTGTAACAGTGCTAAATTAAATTCAGAGTACATAAAGCCAGCTGGTGTAGACATGGGAAAGTTTCAAAATTCCAATCTGTTTGAACATCCCCTGACAAACTCTTGGTGCATTTCCACAAAGGTTAGCCTTTTCTGTGTGGAGTTGTAGTGAATGTTTGTTTACAGTAGCTGCGTTACTCCAGTCATAGTGAGGATACAGCAGCAGGGAATTCTCCTTTTGTTTATGCTTGGAACCAGACCAAACGTAAATGTTAGATGTACCCTGAAGTAAAGAGATGAAAGAGAAATGCCAGGCTCACAAATTTGAATTATTAAACCATCAATTTTAGGTCATATCTGTAAAACGTGATTTTATTGAGTGATCATGATTTTATTTTTATTTTTTTCTTCATTTTATTGGAAAGATTTTCTTTTTTTAATATTAGCTGAATACATACCCACAAACTGGAATAAACTATTTTCTTTGCTGTTTGTGCTTCTTAAAAGCAAGAAGGTCATACTATGTTGCATCTGCCTCCCTAAATATCCTAGTGCAGCTACACACAGTCATTCATGTATACATCTTTTCTGCATGCATGCACACACACAGACGCACACGCACTATTAAATCGCCAAATGCAGCAAAGAACAGTACCTTATGCAGTTAGTTATGGTTGGCCTATGTAGGAGATAGCATTGCCAAACTCCTCTATTAATCTTCTCCCCAAGGCACCACGGTTCCAGCACTCCTCAACAGCACCTCCAACCAACTCTACCTTCACTTTTTCTCTGACATTAGTGTGTCTGCAGCTGGATTCAGGTTGGAATACAAAAGTAAGTGAAATTACAGTTCTTACTACCTCATGTAAATACCAACCAAGGACAAGTATTACATCAAATATCAGCACATTTTCTGTGAAGATATACTCGTCTTGTTCCTCCCCACATTTTGCATTGTACTTTCTCATATTAATTCTGTCCTTTATGTTTCTGTATTATCATTAAATAGCCTTCCCTTTTTCTCTGTCCCTTTCATCTTTTCTATTTATTCATTTCTCCCCTCAGCTGTGTCTCTGACCAACTGCCCAGAGCCTGTGGTTCCAATGAATGGCATCAAAGTTGGCGAGCGTCTCCAGATGAATAATGTGGTGTCTTTCCACTGTGAACCTGGATATACTCTACAGGTAACACCTACCGCCTTCAGACAAGGTTCAGCATTAAATGCCCATAAAACCTCATTGATCCTTCTCTGGCCTTTGCCAGTGTCACTCCTGTCAGATTTCATTGTTGTCAGTTATCTCCTGAAGCAGTGGTCATATTTTACGGTAGGGGATCAAGCAAAATGTTGGAGATGAGACTGTGGTATCGTGGATGGACTGCATAGTGGAAGTAGAAGTTCCTTTTAGAAGTTAAGTTAAAAGTTATCCTTCATTTTTCAGCCTCAATGAACTTTATGCTCTGATTATGTTAATGTGATTAAATCAGTGTAAACACATTTGCAATAACATTTGGAGTACTCTGACTTTGGCTTTAATAGACACCAGACAGGGAATGTATGCACCTTATTTGCATCCTTTCACCTGTGAACAAGTTATGCATGTGCTGAGCTCAGTGGTTTAGGAAAATTGTCTGTGCGGTTTTATAGATTAGAGGATGATTGTTATGATTCATCTCTGTCATCCAGCCTGGATGTTATGATGCATGACAGTGTTCCCCCTTAATTTCATCAAATTGGATAGGTATCTAGACAGGTATCCTCCATATGTTGGTTATAATTTATAGGATGATGTGGTGCTGGTTTTGCTATAAACTAAGAATTCTGCTCAGCCTCCCAAGTTCGACTGTATTCTGCACGTCCTCCAGTGCTTCCACAGTCATCATCAGCAGACAGATGGTGACATCTGTGGAGCACATTGGATGCAGCAGTTCACACAAATTCTACTTGAAAGTTCTCTCTCCACTCTGCACAACACAAGTCAGGACTGTGTGTTCCCATCACTTCTCACTCCCTGTCCTCATCTAGAAATGCCAGGTTTGGTTTTTGTCACTCACCTCTTTTCACACCAGGTTTACTACATTTTTAATTGTCATAGATAGTTGTCCAATTGCTATGATGACATGGTTTTATAAAATGTGATAGTGGTAGGGAAAGAAGCAAGTTTTAGCAGAAAAAGGTTTGGGGGAATGATCTCAATTTTGTGCTGATGTCTTAATAATGACAATAATTACTGAAAGGAGCTATCTGCAAGTTTTGCTATTGCTACATAGCCAACATTAGCATTAACAGCTATTTACTTACCTGTCCTGCCAGGAGCTTCAGTCATCGCTGTGTTTATAATACGCCCTCTGAGCAGCGCTACTTCTTCGGGGTAGACTGAACACAATGGTTACTCGATATCGGAAAGTGACAAGATGGGGACAGCGGGGGGAGCTAGCTGGTTAGCATGCTGACTTCAGTAGAAGGAAAGCAGTGATAGAAATAGAAGCAAAATAAGGTTTGCTTTTCCACCGCTGAAGACAGCTCTTGATGAGTAAAGGAATGACGTTTGATGCTGAACTCGCAACATTTCTTCTAGACTGGTAAGCAAACAGCTGTTAATGCTAACGATCGCTATGTAGCAATAGCAAAACTTACAACTAGCTCCTTTAACACGTGAATTTTGTTATTATAGGTAGGCATCTGAGTCCTGACCTGAGCTCCATCAGAATTTTTTAACACCATTGGCTCTGGATAATCAAATAATATTGTCTAGTGTTACAGGAAGTTTGAAGTTATGCTGCTAAAATGTAATCATGTAAATGACCTGGACATTTCTTTTCTCACACTCACAGTATTTGCAGTAGAGGCATTATCAGGGAGAAGTATTTGCACATTTTGTTGCACAATAGGTTAGATTAGTCATATTATGGAAACACATACACAGCTTCGCTTTCCAGTTTCTTTCCTCATATTTTGTTATACATAAGTGTCTTGTTGTTTTTAGCCTTACCTACTAGAAATTCTATTATTATAAATTGGTCTGACCTAAATTAATTAGATAGGTAGGATAAAGAGGAAATTAAACTATCATCCTTCAATTTGGGAAATATCTAATCATTATCAACCATTGCAGCAGCCATCTTTGATGGGGAGACAAGTGAAAGAGTGCTTTCTAATAGTTCAAAAGTTCTATGTTCCATGAACTAGTTTTTTAATCAGTTTTTTTTCATCTTTATGGCAAGTTAGTCTGAAAAGTTAACTCCAGAACTCTCAGAAAAATGCCTGTTGTATTGCTTATTTGAGCAGATCAACAAGAAATGTGAACTGCTCTGTAATCTTTCCCTCTGTGTCTCCCTCTGTATGATCATCTTAATGTGCCTGTGATGCTGCCTCTCTGTTGTTCTCTGTCACTTCAGATGGATTTAGTCATTTAGTCGCCACATGAAGTCATGTAGAGACAGGCAGCAGGTTCAAATAATTGGAGGAACAGATGAGTGACAGTGGGGAGAAGAAATAAATTCATCGCCTGCTCTTTCTTGCACTTTTGTCTTTGTGTCTGTGTGTCTGCACACGCTGTTGTGTGGATGCTCCTCACAGGGGAACTCGCACATCACCTGTATGCCTGGAACCGTTAGACGATGGAACTACCCACCTCCTCTCTGCATAGGTAAAAATACCTTCTTCTTTATTTTCTTCACTCCTATTTCAGTTCTACTTTCTGACTATTTCTCTTTAGGGACTCTTTAACTTGGTTATCACACCAGCAAATCTTTCCAAATGTTATACAGAGCCTTTCAGGCCAAGGTCTCAATGTGCAGCCTTGTAGTGTTTGACATTGTTGTCATCAGCAGTCTGAATGAAAGCAAAAGTGGGTTGCCAAGTTAGTACATACTATAGGTGACAAAGATATGTTTTACTTATCCAACACCGCCTCACGGCTGACATACAGAAACACTATGCCAGAGATAACCCAGCTCTTAAATGGAAATGAGGAAAATAGGTGATATAAACAAAAAAGGAAAATTATATTTCACATGTTTGTGTTTTTATTTGAGTCTAGGAGAGCGATGGCGCTTTTGAAATGAATTTCTGCCTTGAGGGGCTGAGAGGTTCCTTCTCCAGTTTTGTACATTGAGTCCTCCTGCTTGTGTGAGCGCCTTGACAAACGGGTTCCACTTATTGGAACAACCTACAACTGCCTAATTAGTTCCATCTCAGACTGTGATTGGTTGAAGTCGAGGGAAGATTCATCGTGTTCACAGGCATCAGCAGTTTCCTGATTACCTCAGGCTTTTTTCTGCTGCTACAGGATAACATTTAACCCCTCACTTATTCCTTACAGAAACACGATGGTACATCACTCGGATTTTCTCTATATCGTTTCTCCTTCCTCTGACATATATAGGCTGTTTGTCCCATTTATTTCTTAATCTCCTTCCCTCTGTTTGCTTGTTTTTTTCCCCTTGCAGTACCTCTGTCTTTCTCTTTTCCTTGAGTCAGCTAATTCTTTTACCATGAGTTTCAGCATCCTTTCATCTTTTTAATTTTGGTGTCAGGATCTCTCACTCTTTTCATCTGTCTTGATCCCATCTCCTCTTTCCCTCAGTAATTCCATACCTCTTTTTTTTTTTTTTTCAGTGGAGCTCTTCACTAGTTCTTGTGCGTCTTCGTCCTGGATTTCAGTCAAAGAAACATTTATCCATCAGTGGTTAAAGATGAAAGGCAAAAGATGAAGAGCAGCAAAAGACATAGTATATTGAACCTTGATATATCTCAAGTGGTAAAAGAGGAGCTCCAAAGTTCTTAAATAGTGAGATAAATTGTCCCTTTTGATGAGATGCTGTCTCTTTTTATGACAATTTATGAAATTGTATATATTTTATTTTTACAATTTTTGTTGTTTTTTTTTTTTACATTGAATTCAGTACATTCTTAAAACACTATTTTCTTTTTGCAATAAAAAATGGATTAGAGCACATCAGCTGCATATAAGATCATACACCTTACCTTTAAGCAATGCAAACCCACATAAAACATTGTAAAGTAAAGGGTTTGCTTTTTTTTTGTCCAATTTCAATTTTAACTAAAAAAAAAAATGGACTAGCTGACATACAATGCTATTTTGTCTCAGATAAAATCATCAAATATTTTCTACATGCACTGTAGTTGCTTCAGCCGCCCACTACAACAAAGAACTGCAGTAAGACATATTTGTAATGTTATTTTAATCTGGGAGAATCACTGTTTGCAGATGCTAAAGAAACGCTTTGTTTACCCTCTGCCAGCTCAATGTGGTGGAATCCGGGAGGAGATGGAGGGCATGATTCTCAGTCCTGGTTTCCCTGGCAACTACCCTAGCAACAGTGACTGCACCTGGAGAATCTACCTGCCAGTTGGTTACGGTGAATATCATGAGAGGCTCTTACAAGCATGCCACACTTTGGCATTTCCACACTCAAGAACCTTTAATTATACAACTTGTAGGGCTGGATTGTGGAATGACAATGTTTATAGTTGTCGATATATCTGGCTGAAATTCATTTAATTCTGAGACCCTGTGAAAAAGGTATGGGTAAGAAAAGCATGGCATTTCTTTTTCAATTTCATTTCCTCTTTTTTCCCAGGAGCCCACATTCAGTTCCTCAACTTCTCCACGGAGGCCAACCATGATTTCCTTGAGATACGCAATGGGCCCCTTGACACAAGCGCAGTGATTGGCCGATTCAGCGGCCAGGATATTCCCTCCTCCCTTCTCACCACCTCCCATGAAACCACAGTATATTTCCATAGTGACCACTCACAGAACAAACCAGGCTTCAGGTTTGAGTACCAGGGTAAGAATCCAGACATGACGATGTGTATGAAAGTGTACTCAAAGCTCCTTGTAAAAGATTCAGAAGATAGGAACAGGAAATTATGACCAGCCTTTCGATTGTCTCTGACAAAAATAGACTCTGGTAATATACATTTATAAAAGTGAGCATAATCACCAAGACTAAATTTTGCTAATTGCAGAGCTGAGCCAGTATCAGTAGTGTGAGTTATTTTCTTCTGCAAAGGATATTCAAACTAGTAATTACTTTAGTGCAACTGGAGCTTTTTGGCTGCTTCGACCCATCTTTGCTGTCACTGAATTATGGTTGTGTAGCAGCACACTGAATATAACTGTAATGTTATTTTCCTGAATTGACACAATCACTATAAGAATCAATGTCACAGAAACTAATTATGTCTTGTAAAAGCATAATGACATTTCATAATCTCTGGGAGTGTTACCTTGCTTTCTTCATGTTAACTTGTGTATCATAAGTGTCACTTCACTGTGAGGTGTATGCATGTAAAGGCATAACATTACTGAATTAGCCTTGGAACTGACTGTCAGAATAATCAGCCCACACAGCCAGTAAATTCCCCGGATCTATAAATCTCTGTATATAAAACTGTTGATCACCTAAAAGATTTCTTCGCCATGTGCCAATAAACAGCTTCACTGCATATCCACATGGCTGCAAGGAATAAATTGCCCTTGTCTCCAAATGCAACAGGCACACAAAGTTTGTATTTTGTGATTCAACAAACGAGCCGGCAAATCGAAAGGTAGCATTGTGCATTTACATAATTATGTGTACATTAGCATATAAATCAAGCATTATATTTGCAAATACCCCCCTTTTGCAGTATTTGCATGAGTTATCTCCCACAAAGGGAAGCTGTGATCCATAGAAATCAATTTCTTTAGTTATATTTATATCCTGGTTTTTCAAGGCTTGCAGCCTGCTCTGCTTTTGTCTCCAAGAAGGAAAAAAAAAAAAGAATTATTTACCCACACTACTTCTGATGACTGCCTCATACTCCTCCGGCACAAGTCAAACCTGCCCCTGGCATTTTTTTCTTTCCTCTGATAACTCCGGTTTAAGAAGGAGGAGGAGGAGGAGGAGGAGGAGGAGGAGTGGGAGGTTGAGGAGAAAGAACAACAAAAAGATGAGGAAGGGGAATTAAAGAGAGAAAGTAAAAATAGAAGACACTGCACTGCTGTTGTCTGAAAGCAGAGGATTCACATATTGAGGATAATCAATGGTGGTTGTGTGAATTGATTGGAAGCTTCAGGAGGCAACAAAGGATCTGGAATGGTTGTGTGGTCAGCATCTGTAGGTGGCCTCAGTGATCATCACACCAATAGGCACTTAGTAATTCAGTCATTTCCCTGATGTTCTCTGTTGGCATGTTTACAAAGAGACACAGACATTTACAAAAGTACTGAATGTTCATCTCAACTATTGTACCATCTCACTGTTCTGTATGACTGTTTAGCTTTAATTTAATAGTTGATCTAATTGCTCTGTCCTTCCAGCATATGAGCTACAGGAGTGCCCTGATCCCGAGCCTTTCCGCTACGGAGTGGTGGTGGGTGCTGGCTTCAATGTGGGCCAGTCTATCTCTTTTGAGTGTCTGCCTGGTTATCAGCTAATGGGACATTCCATCCTCACCTGTGAGCATGGCACAACCCGCAACTGGGATCACCCTTTCCCTCGCTGCGAAGGTAAGAGATGCAAGATTTGTCTTATCATATCCAAATAATGTGCAGAATTTTTACACATTTATGGATCTAAATAATCTAAATACTTCCAAACAAGTGGCCGACTAAACAGCCCCACCAACACAGAACTAAACTAATAACGTGATAACTTCCTGTTTAGAAGGCAGTGAGCTATTACATTGTTAGTACAAAGTGCGGCCATGGAGATAATGATTATCTATTATGAATAATGCAATTAAAGTGAATTATCATCCCCCATTAATAAAGCAAAGTACTCCTCAATGAAAATCAATGTAGTGCTAAAGAGGAATGGAGACAAATAAAAGATGAATAAAAGAGGGCCTAAATTGAAAAGAAAAGTAATGGGTGCTCTTTCTTTCGCCGTGTCCTTGACCCACATTCTCACGCTCTAGCTGTCGATTATTCAATAAGGCAGGCAAAATTACAGAGGGAGGTGATGGCCGTGACACTGGGACTTTGAATGGGTGAGCAGGGAGATAAGTGGGAGTGAGAGACGGAGCAACAGAGTGAAAAGGCAGAGGGAGCAGGAGCAGAGTTTATTCTGTCAGAGTTATTTTCCTTTGTATTATCGCCAGAGACCTGCTAGAATGTTACACCTGTGTGTGTAATGTCATGTGTGTGCATGCTCATGTGGATTTGTGGGTGTGTACAGACACATGCATATATGCAAATTATATAAAATACTGTACATGAAGGGAATATTAATGATATTGCAGTGTCCTATATCCCAGTAGCATGCTCACAAGCTTCTGCAGTTTTGTACAGTTTATTTCTATAATCATATATGCAATTGCAATGTAGCCTCCTGCTGCACTGATGCAATACATAGCACTTATACAGTATTTAATATATCATATATGTCAGTCTAATTGTATATAGAGTATTTGAACACTGCCTTACCCTGCTTGACATTGTTTAATGCAAGCTAATACATATATTCACTAATAATTACCACTTTGTCTGCATGTGTGTGTACTCATGTGTCTTCTTTTACATAAACAACCATTAACCAGTGTTTCTGTGCTGTATGTGAGTATGCACATGTGTGTGTTTGCTGGGCAAAATGACCAGGAGAAGGTGGCCTGATGTCTCTGACTGTGAGTGTAATTGAATTGGCTTTAATGCTGTGACCTGGTGTGAGGAAGTGATACAGCAGGAGATGAAGTGATAGGAGGTGCTTCAGTCTTAATGGGATAAATATTGGGGGTGTAAAGATTCTGAAATCAAGACTGAAACTACAACTCAGACATCCACACCCCCCAACCCAACCTGCTGCCACCAATGCAGATGCAGCCTGTTTAGCCCTCACAATTATTAATTTTACAATTATCACTAAAACACATGGAAATTAACCAAATGGACCAAATAATTCCAAATGTTGTTTTTTACTTTACAGATATGTCCATGCACGCACACATTTACAAAAACATACATCACTGTCTTTGCTAGCAAAGTAAATATATTGATTTTCTGTTTCTTTTTCTCTCATCTCCTCTCAGCTAATTCATATCAAGTGTTACATGGCAGCAAACCATGTTGTAACACCTTTACTTGACCCAGTATAGCTCAGTACAACCTGCTCTTCAGTCTCTCTGTCAGTCCAGTATTTGCCTATGGTATTTGCATAGATTTCCCCTGAGGGGGATGAGAGACATTGATTTTTGTTACCATGCCTCCACTTACCTGCTTAGCTTGGCGTTATAATCACACCGCATTGTGTCTATGAAATACATTACATTCTCTCTGCTTCTTTTTTTGTTTCTATGCTGTTTCAACTTGTCTTTGTACTTTGCAGTCTCGTCTCCTGTATATTTATATAACTTATATAACAGTTTGTAAAGAAACACAATTATGTGATAAATTGTGTCACATTGATCACTTGAGAATCATTACCCTTTTCAGTTTCTTGTTTCTATGAAAAAGTAAAGGCTGCCAGTTGTGACAGTGTTTCCACAGAAAAAATTGGCCATATTTCCTGCCTTATTTTACCCAATTTTCTGTGACTATAGTAACAACCAACATCCAAACACAATCTGTTTTCTCTTTTGTATTTAAAAACAATTCCAACTCCTTTCCAACTTTTCTGTTCCCACCTAACCCTTCAAGCAAACACACTCCTTTGCACATAATGCTTAAGTAGCTTACCAGTCGATGGCATCACCCAGAGGTGCAACTCCATGGAGTGTCCAGGGTTTAATCAATCGGTCTGATCGATAGCTCATTTAACCTGGTGAGGCAGCAGCAGAGGGGCCACTCAACCACAGGGCTAAAGCAAGCATCTGTATTACATGAACACACACACAACCTGAGTGAGAAATACAGGGATAAAACATGCAGTCTCTGCTTTGGGAATGATCTTATACACATAGGCGTCCAAGGGTGTGCTGTTAAGCTGAATACCCTGTCTGGTTTGCTTGAGATGCCTGCACTACTGCGATTACCACTCCCTCCTGATTTTCCCTGCTTCACCACTGTGAATAAGGGGTTTCTCTAAGGGCACCAGCGGGAGTGTTAGGCTTGGTAATCGTTAAGTTGGTGAGAACCTCCTGAATTTCTGAGGAATGTTTGAAATATAGTTACGACTTCTATGCATGCAGATTTGAGGCTGGGTGTAGGGATGTGTGCCTCTGGTTGAGTGTGTGTTTTACTATATTTATGTTGATGTGCAAGATTTTTTTTTTTTTTTTTTTAACTCAGGACATCAGGCATGTGAGGTCCCAGCATTGTCAGTTTTGACATAGACATGCTGTTCTAACCTTTCCTGTCACTCAAACACACACACACAGGTTTACACACTCATGCATATCCACTGCTTATAGACGTAACACATACTGTAAATATACACACACACACCTCAAAAGCCCAGACCACACTAATCCCTCGCCTCATCTCTGCACTCTCTCTCTTCACCCCCAATGGGAAAGGGTTGAGGCCTTATCTTAGCAAAACACTCTATCCAAGTCCCCACTTGCTAACAGGCTTTACTGGCTAATCTTTAGCTCAGACAAGCGCCTGGGCACTAGACGAAGAGTGAAGGAGAGGGGGAAAAAGACACTGAGAAGGGAAGTAGAAGAAGTGGGGGATGAAAATCCCCTTTTTCCACCAATTGCAGCTGCATTATGCATCTGTCCTGTTGTATTCCCAGCCCCGCTGATATATTTACACTGCCTCTCTCTCTCCCTCTCCCTCTCCCTCCCTTCCTCCCTCCCTCAGTGCCTTGTGGTGGGAACATTACGTCAGACAATGGGACCATCTTCTCCCCAGCTTACCCAGAAGAGTACCCCAGTTCAGCTGACTGCTCCTGGCTGATCACCGTGGCTCCTGGCTTCGGCATTAAACTCAACTTCACCCTGCTTCAGGTTCATGGGCCGCATGACTTTATCACTGTCTGGTAAGAAATTGCTGCTCCCAGGGGCTGAAGATATGTGGAAATTCCTTTTATGAAATGCTGGATATATTTAGTACCTTCATTTTTGTTTGTGTGGGTAAAGGGAAATGATATTTTAACCAGTATTCTAGTAACAGCCAAACTTAAATCTCAAGGCCATCTCAACCAAATGTTGAGCTTTGTATTTGTGTGTCATTGAAATGTTTCCATTTTTATTAATATATTTGCAATTCAACTTTCTCGTTATCGTCACCTCTGTAATGCCTTATCTTTCAAGACCTTGTCACCTGCTCCTGCTTTTTAAACCTGTAATGCCTCCAGCTCTTTTTCCCATATCAGCCTCCATTGTGTTGCTTCACAAAACTGAGTCAGAGTCCAGTTAGCTAATCTCTAATTCCCCTGCCCCCCTTCTCTTGTTTCATTCACTGTCCTTTATGTGACTCTGCAGCTTGTTTTAACAAGTACAGTACACCCCCTCCCTCGCTTAAATATGTGTGTGGGAGAAAACAGGGAGACAGAGAGGGTTTGTGTGTGTGCTCTTATGTGTGCATTAGGACAATTATATAGTGATGACTATTGAGTGGTAAAGCTTCCTTTCATCACCTCCATAATGTATGGCTGAGCCTGACATATGTGCAACCAAAGACAGGATTTTGCATGCATGATGGCTGCCAGTCCCAGTTGATCCCAAGACAAGCTCCAAAGGTCCCAGCTCTCAGTGAGACCGGAGATCTGACTGCCAGCCAACCTGGCAACTTGACGACCACAAGTGCACATGGCATGAGGTGACATGGACTGTATGTTTTGCAGATGAGGGTGTTTATAGAAATTTGTGTGAAGATTTTTAGTCCATGGAGAGTTTAAGTCACTAACTCGACTTGGCTATTCAGCCAAAATGTCCACTTTCTATCTATTGTGGCTCTTCTGTAAATGGCCTCCACTGTGTTGATCTTTCCCAACAACCTCCTGCAGAGCCAAGATGGGGACTATCATGTTCCCCAGTTTCCAGTTACCACTTCTTTGTATCTATCCACTGAACTACTGAGCCAAGGAAATGGGCCCCGTAATGGCGGCTTGGCCAGAGTGCTGTCAGGCAGCAGTCCCTAGCCAGCCGTTTCCAGAGCTGCTTGTAATCGCCCATGCCCAGTCTGACAGCCAAAGACAGATGGTTTTTAAGCTGAATGGTTGTGGCAGGAATCTGGGAGCTGGCTTAATCGGCCATGCCCACGCCAGGGGACTGCCAAGGCTGGGCCATAGCTTCCAGGGACACTCCCCTTGGATGGCAGTTAGCAGGAACAGCGCAATCCAGACCTGTCATTTCACGCTTATCTGTAATTTTTACCTTATTTCAACATAATCACCCAGAGCAGCCCAGAGTAATTGCTTTGGGTTTGATGAAGTGAAAGCAGCTTGGTTGTACTCTGCTGCTGGAGGCTGCTTGACAATAATCTGGCATGTGGCTTTGTTTGGTTTTCTCACAGATATCCCTCAAAGAGTCTTGAGGTGTTTTATGGTTAGAGACTTTAGCAGAGGGTGCTGACAGAAAACCCTTGCAGTTAATTATCATCACTGTGTCCCCGGTGTATTGTTATTTTCAAAGATATAGTTGACTTGTGACCTTTTTCCTATAGGGATGGTCCACAGGAGACGGCCAGGAAACTGGGGGTGTTTACTGATGGAGAGCCCAATGATCCACCCAGCAGCACATCCAATCAGGTGCTGATACGTTTCCGTAGTAACACAGAGAAGGGTGGACTGTTCCGTATCAGCTATCAAGGTATGTAAATGATCTTTCTTGATCCTTATTTCTACCTGATATTTCGCATATATTCTGTTTGACTCTTTTCATTTCTTTGATGCTCTCAATAAAGCGTACAGACTGCAGCACTGCCTGCCGCCCCCCATCATTCCTAATGCAGAGATCCTGATGGCAAGCAAAGAGTTTAAAATTGGTAGGTGGAAACGCTGTCACAGAAAGGCACATTCACACACACAGACGCACACACAATCACTGCCGTCTATGCTCTGCTGACTTTTTTGTATTAGACGCTGGTCCCATGCTGACTCGTGGAATTGTAGCATTCTGAAGAGTTAATCCCAACTGTCAATTCACCTTCTGACAGGTTACATTGCCCCAGATTGACTGACTACACATCCCATAAGTCTGTGGTACTGAATGCAGACTGGCCCCAAGCTACATCACCCACGGAGCTTTGAGGCAGCAGTATAAATGAATGGTTCTGACAAAATAATCAGAAAGCCAAAGGGATTTGGGGCAGGTGCTCTCATTCTCCCCTGTAGAAGACAATGGAGATTAATTCTCCTTATCTGTTTATTTGCATACCTCCTTGACTCATTATTATTCAGAGACACAAAGGCGACGACACTGACATAGTGTTTCATCTATAGGATTCCCAGTGGGGATTTATTATGGTACTTTTCTCCACTGTTAACTTTTTCTTTCACTGAGACACACAATGGATCATGATTAGTTCTGCAGACATTTTGGCTCGTTGCCCCCATCTCTGATTTGTCATTGACTGTACCCCCTCCTCCTTCATCTCTCTCTTCAGGTGATATAGTGCGCTACCGGTGTCTTCCAGGCTACCAGTTGAGTGGAAACAGCATCCTGACCTGCCGGCTTGGGACACACTTGGAGTTTGAGGGGCCTCCGCCCTCATGTGATGGTGAGTGAATGCTTGAGGCTTTTGAACTTGAAAAGGTATCCAGGAGGGCCTTGATCACACTTGCACAGTAACACCTTCACACCTGCTGACTGCTCAGTACAACCCCAGTTTGATTTGCTGGCCACTGGGCAGCTCCACATGAGGGCTAGGGAGATAAGGGCCTTGCTCGAAGCACCTCAGTGGTGGTAATGAGGGAAAGGTAAAGCAGTGTTCTGTCACTTTTCCCACCCATATTTATTCTGCCGTTCCAGGCATCGAACCTGAAACCTTCCAGCCATAAGCTCTTCCTTTTCACACTTTCATACCTCTTTCTCCCCGAGCTCCATTTAGTATATTCTTCTCTACCTGCTTTATCTTTTTTTATTGTCTCACTAAAATGGAAAATGTATGGTTCTGAAATATCTCAAATAATATAGATAAAATCCTCTGCAATAGATAGATGAATACTTAATGAATACTGTGGTGTTTGAATATGGTAAAAAACAAATACTTATATGTGATGAAAAACTAAAGCCAGAAAACAAGCAGTAAGCAAATATGTGTCATGAAAAAAATAATGTGAATTTGTTTAGCTTCTTTCATTTAAAGAATATAACTCTTTTCCCTGCTCTCCCTACTATACTTTTTAAATTTGATCAGCACTATCAGCTCCATTGCTACAAACATATATGGTAGAAAAAATAAGTCATAATGTAAAGTTAATGTGAACAAAGCATAATTCTTAAAGTGCTCAGAATTCTTGCTCATCAGATCTCTCATGACATTTAAAACTTGCTTACCGTTTTAAGCATTATTTTCACATTCAGAAAAAATATCACTTGTTACTTGACCTGATTTATACGTGGTCTTTACTCAGACTCCAGTGAAGTCCAGTTAGACTCAAACAGTCAGGGCAACATGATGGTGCAGCATCACATTCCTCCATCATAACCCTGTGGATTTCTATCATCTCTTTTGCTGAATATTTTCCATGGACCTTTTGCACCTGTAGTCACACAGTTAGCTTTGTGAAAACAGCAACTACTTTTCCTCTAAGCTGCACATTACAGCACATCGCATTGAATAAATGTGATTGTTTGCAGAAAAAGCCTCTTGAGATGCATCATCTCAGTTTTCAGGAGGGCCCGATGAGTCATTATGTTTCACAAATATATCACAACACAGGTGAAGCACTGCCTTCATCTGTTTATTTTCAACAGGGTTATAGGTAGTCAGTATCATTTTTGCTCTAATCATAGACTCATGCACTAGTTGCAGTTGTGCTTTATTTGTGGCTCCCGTGGGTCCTCTTTCTGCCTATAGTCATGAAGCAGCAGCCACATATCAGTTCGGCAGCACTTTCTATCTCTGTGGATGATACTTGGCTCCCATGAGGCTGAGGGTGGCTGCTGTGGTGCTCTCTACATGCCGAAATATCATCCTCCCAGAGGACTCAATAAGTGCTGTGTCCCCAACACATCATTATAATACAGTATGTTGTGTGCAATACTTTTCCCCTGGGCCAGAAAGTGGGTCCATAGATGGGTGTCTGTTTCTTTCTGTTTCAAAATATCATAAAAACATGTATCTTTCATTATTTTTGCTCTCTTTTCTAAAATGCTCGTCTTATTTTCTTTTCCTCCATCTCGCTTTGTCATTTTGTCCTGCACTCTGTTTGTGGGTTGTGTGGTGGATCTGAAAGAGTTGGCAAAGTTTGGTAAATGCAGCTAATTTAGAGTGCTAAATAGGAAAAATATGCAAATACTCTCAGCATGAGGTGAAAAAGGAGCAGAAAAAAAAAAAAGTTAGGCAACAGAAAGAGAGCAATGAAAGGTGAAGAGGATCTATGTATAGGCTAATAATGCAGACGTGGAACAAAGTACCCAGGACACCCAGAGAGAGGCAGAGCAGAGGAGACTGAGGGTGTTGAAATTCAAGTCAGAAAAGAACAATGAGAAAGAGAAATCGTGTGTGTGTGTGTGTGTGTGTGTGTGTGTGTGTGTGTGTGTGTGTGTGTGTGTGTGTGTGTGTGTGTGTGTGTAAGTATTTGTCCTGCCTCTTGCCTGCCCCCGCCTCCCCTCTCAGGTGTACCTACAGACAATTGCACCTGAAAGCGTCCACTGACATTGCCTTATAATTGCATTTTAAAAATATCATGCTTTGTGCACAGTTGAGCCTTGCTAAGCCAAAGAAATCTGTGTGCCATATTTAAAATCTAAGTGGAAGTCGGTGACAGTTGAATGCTTTTTCTTGCAGTTTGCCATGCATTTCAGTTTTGAATGTGCACTAAGGCTCATGGCTTCTGTGCCCTGTTAATTGTTCCCCTCATGCTGAGAGACACAATATACTGGGGACAAACAGTTCCAGCAGACTCCATCTATCTGCAAACCTGTCACTTTTCCTGCATAGACACAGACCAAGGTGATGGAGAGGAGAACCTCAGACAACAAAAGCTGAAGGATGCAGGAGCTGAGTGAGAGGGAGCTGAGAGTAGGAACAAACTGATGTTAGTGTGAATGAAGAGGAGAAGATTGGACGGGGAGAGAAGAGGGTCAAAGACATACAGATCGGTAGAAAACATTTTGGGATTTCTGTGAAAAAGAAGGATTCTTGGGAAAAAAAATGTTAAAAAAAATCTATATGGAAAAGATGGAGAGACTGCTAATTGAGCAGAAGGATGGTGAGTCAGTGGAAGTAGGACAGGAGTTAAAAAGCAAGGGGAGGAAGAGAGACTGGGAGAGACTTAGTTGGAGGGGGGGGGGTGAAGACAAGACGTGTACAGCTCATTGAAATGCAGGGGACATGCTGGCTGCAGCTGCACCTATCAAATCACCACTTCTTGCTCTGACAAGCACAACCCTCCATGCACATCTAGCTGCCCCCAACCCCACACACATACATATATAGCACAGACATAAAACGCTGGTCAAGCATGTGCCTGGGTAGCACGAAAGTGGATGTTGTCATTGTTTTAGTCTTCCAGAGAGCAGCACTGGAGCCTGGAGCCGGTTCTGCAGTATTGCTTGCCCCTCAGCGCCAGTATCCTCTCTCATCCTCTGCATTCCCTCCATCTGCACTCACTCGCCACTTCTCTCCCCTCCCCTGGCCCCACTAACGTCAGACTTCTGTTCTTACGTAACACATGTACCCTTTTATTCCCTATTCTCTTTTTTTTTTTTTTTTGTCCTTCTCTGGGGCTGCTTCACAGTGCAGTGTATGCTCATACACTTGAACACACAGGTGTCTATCAACACCCAGATCTTTCTTTGTCTGTGTCTTTCCCTTTCTCCCAAAAGCTGACACACAGGCACAGACATAAAAGCCACCGCCATACACACAGACACACTTTCACTCTTGTTCTGTCTTTATTTAATTCATTCAGTATTTGATTTGCCTTCTATTTGATTAAACAGGGTTGTATTGTACCCACAGTCCTTAACTACATCTGCTGTCTGCTGAGACTAACAGGAGTTCCAGCATCACACACACAAGGCAGTAGCATCAGTACAACGTGTTGCTTGAATTCATTAATAAATCACAATGAGCCCTGATGATCCAAAATCCCTGTGTTTATCCCCTGGACAGATTTCTGGTAAAAACCTGCATAATCACCCATCACATTAGCTTCCCAACTCGGTCCCTTCGCCTCCCTCGCCTCTCTGTCTATCTCTTTCTTTGTTCCCTTGATAATTTTTTTTGCCCTAGCCCCCTTCTTTTAGTCCCACAGAATGATTACAGATGCCCCCTTTTTTTCCTTTTTTTTCTACATCTTTATTGTCATCCCTGACTTCTTAGAGTTGTTAGTTCCTGATCCACGGCAATGCTCATGTTGTGGCCCATCCCCTTCAATCAGCTCGTTATCGCTTCTCAGCTTATGCTAATTAAATACCAACATGAGTAACGGAATCTCAACAGCTCTGCAGCACTACGAACTGAATATATCGAGCTTGATGCACGTGTGCTTCCATACTTGTATGCCGGAGTGCACAAATCCGTGTGTGTGGATGCAGATGTGTGTGCATCTGTGCTCGTCTGCACTGAAGCCTACCACCGCATTTTTTATTGGGAGGCTGTTGCATACCATGAACAATTTATATACAAACAGAAAGGATGTCTCACCCAGTTTATTCCATTCCCCGTCTCATTAAAGTGAAATTTCATTTTGAGTCCTATCAGCGCTGATCTCACCTTCTGTGTTGAAGCTGCCTTTTTCCAGCTGTCAGGTTTGTCCCCTAATACCCTTTTGTTTACAGCCAAACAGAGTGATGCTTCATTTCAAAGTGGATTAGTTTAATAAGTAGCAGCCTATAGATAAGAGCCCCTGTCTGTCTCTTTGCGTCAGCTCCATGACAAGCTGAAGGCAGTTTTGAAGAGGCGATGGGGCTCTCTGAAAGGTCACTGACAACACACATCTCATCCTCAGAGAATTGATCGTTTAATGAACTTCTCTCTTAGATTTTATATGCTACTTCCAGACGCAATCAGTTTCGCTATCAGCGATGGATTTAAGCCTTTTGACTCGTGTCCACTTAGGTGCTTGAGGTTGTAACTGATTTCACAAAGTTGGTGAATTTCTTCCTGGAATTTAGGATCAGAGTAGATAACTGTTACTTTTCGTCCAAAGTGAGATCCCAGGAATACTTTGCAGATTTCTAATTTCAACATCGTATGCAACATGGTGATACTGCATGCAAGTGTAGTATGTACCATTGTTCGTGCTGCTGCAATAACAATACAACCATTCCCATCTGCAAAATGTATGTTTTGAGTTAGCACATTACCTGTTTTATCCCACTAATTTTGCTTATATACAAACATAATATGAAATTGGGACACAACTACTGTTTCCCTGTGGTAAATAACATTTGCATATATTTAGTGTTTGCTTTGTTCTTTTGTGGTAACATTTCATTAGGTTTTGCAATTAATACCTTCACAATGAATAGCAAAAAGTTGAGGGAAAAGTATTTGACAGGAAAATATTTTTGAAGTCATTTTAACATGCATTTCTGTTGGTGACATCTTACCTGACATCTGAGACTTCCCGAGGCAATAAACCCCAACCTAGTTGACACACCAAGCAAGGTAAAACAAATGCTGTTTAACCCAGGCTGTCTCCTATAATCTTCTTTATGCCTTCCCCTACGAACACACAGAAAGGAGGGTGAACAAGCCAAGACACAACACTTGAGCTCATCCACACTCACAAAAACAAAGTTAAAGCCACACACACACACATTGTCCCACAAAGGAAGCACTGCTAGAATGTGACGAATGAGCGTTCAGTATTTCACCACTGTAATGAAGGACCTGCAAGTGCAAAGAGCTACCTTACCCTGGGGCAGAACAGGCTCACTTATTGAAATTGCAGCACACAACAAGGGCATTTACATAAATTTTATTTTTTTATTTTCCGCTGCTCTTGGTTGACAAACACACACATACAGACAGGTGATAAATTAAAGGAAAAACCAACATAAAGTGTCACCAGAACAGCTTGTAGAATCAATGCAGCATGGCATTGATTCTATAATGGACGGACACCCTTCTTCCAAATCTTCCCTCATTTGATGTTTGGGTGACTCATCTGACCACATCACTTTTTTCCACTTCTCTGTAGACCAGTGCATCCCCGAACTCTCGTATGTGCATTCATCTTTGTCGTGAGTTGTGTGAAAGAGCTGCTGATTACACAAAGTTGTGTGTCGGTTGTGTACCATAACCCTCATTGATTTGAATGGGGTGAACAAAATAGTAGGAACACCTCTCAAGACAATGCAACACAGTTGAACAACATCACACCTTGAACATTATAATCTTCATTAAAGTAAGATTTACTGTATTACCAGTAGTCTCAGTTCATTGTACCTAATAAACTGACAACTGAGTGTGCTACAGAAAGGAGTTGATATCATAAGAGAGAAAATTTCTTATATATATTTCCTTTATATAGGTTTATGGTATCTTAATTATGTACAAAAGCAATTGCAAGCAAACAAAAAAAACAAATGTGTATGTTTCTCTGCTGTGGAAATAGTTATTCCACAGTCTCTCCCCAGCACTCCCATTAGGTAAGCAGCAAAAACAGTCGGAACTATCGAACTAAAAAGAAAATAAATGTAGCAGTTGCATTGTGTTACTGTTGCAGCACTGGCTTCCTTTTATGTTAGTGCTTGCTTTCCACTGTGTATGCAAACATCTTTGGCAGATTAAGAGGTTGGCTTCACAGAATCGCAGCAAAAAACATAACAGACAGGAGAGCTGTGTAACGTCTGATAATATAGACTGAAACAACTCGGAAATGTTAAAGGATGTCACGGAGCTGTCCCACAAGAATACCAATGACAAAAGGGAGGGGAGTGGATGGATGTGGTCCGCCCAGACGTGCCACAGCAATAGGGCTTCAAGGCAGATGTGAGCTTTAGCCACCAAGTTAGCATCACATCTGTCACATACTGACAATGGGCAAAGAGGACACAGTGTGCTCATGGCAATTCAGTAATATTAGATGCTATATAAGCCATTTCCTGCACTGGCTAAGCATGGACAGCTTTGTTTCCTGAGACAGCATCAGGACCAGAATGACAATTAGCTTAGCTGTGTTTTTAGTCACTTTGAATTGCCCTCCAACAACAATATGGATCTAACCAATCCAATTTGTGTTCCAAGGTAAAATAAATTCACTAAAACATTGTGAAACAATGTAGAACAGCACTACATAAACAAACCGTTATTGCTAGAATTCAGTTTTTTTGGCTCTTTCTTTTACCTCTCTCAACAGTGACTTGTCCCATGAACGAGGTACTGACAGCTTCCACGGGTGTCATCATGAGCCAGTCACCAGGCAGCGGCTTCCCGCATTTTGAGTCTTGCTCTTGGGTGGTCAAAGTAGAACCAGGCTACAACATCACCTTCACTATCGAACACTTCCAGACCAGCCGGCAGTTTGATGAGCTCGAGATCTTTGATGGTGAGTCATCGTATATGCTATGAAAGTCAGCATATGTAGTCAAAGCAATGGTTACATACTGTATCATATAAGTAAGTTAAGCAAGTGTTATCTTTCTTTGGACTTTTTAATTATCAAACAGAGTTTAAATGAGGATCCTGTTGTTTAACATCGCTGGCCAGGGTAATGCACACTACATATACTGATCAGTAGTCTATTGACCCGACGACTCTCCACACACCTCCCTGTTCAAAGACCCATTTTCACCAATATCCACAATTACAGGCCAAAAGGAGCCAGACAGCTGGATTTACCGTCCCTAACAAGGCATCTACTAACAGAAAATCACACACAGGCTCCCTTTCATGGTGACAGAACATCTACATCTGCCTTGTACATTTGCATGTGATTAGAGGCACAGTCAGCAACTCTGCAGGCTGCTCTAAGAAAATGGCGGTCGTATACACTTGTGTTGCTGATTAGTGCTTTTTATCTTCTGCCGAGTGGAGGGGAACAGACATTTGCTAACCTTGGGGCTGCCGAGCCAATTATGGAAGGAAATCTTTTTTCCACAATTAGGAGCTCAGCAAATTTAGATTTTACCATAAGTGTAGCAAAATGCATAATCCCTTAAATACCATAACTCAGAATAATTTGATTCATATCATAAATCAGTGTTTTTTTGTTTTGATTTTTTTAATTAAATTTGTATAAATAGAGAAATTTTAGAAATTTTCATTATCTGTTGTATCACTGTTTATTTAGTAGGAATATAATATAATTTTTCAATGTGTGTCAGTGATCAAGCACAAGGCCTTATTTTAAAGATATGTTTTTCTTTTCTCTCCGTGTGTTTATCCAGGCCCGTCCAGACAGAGCCCCCTCCTCATCACCCTTAGTGGCAACTATTCCAGTCCGCTGAGCATCACTAGCTCCAGTAACAAAGTCTACCTGCACTGGTCCTTCGATCACACTACCAGCCACAAAGGTTTCCGAATACGCTATTCAGGTGAGTACGAACCAAGGCATCTACTGGCATGAAGTAACAGGCTTCTTTTCAAAGGTGGTGTTGTTGCAGTCTTTTTGGGGATTGATATTTGGCTTTGTTTCTTATAGACACCGAGCCGAGGTGTCTTTGGTTTACTGTGTCAACAAGACCAATATTTGGGCTGCCAACTGCAGCTGAAACAGCTAGAAGTATGACCCATCTCCATGACAACCTAACAGGGGCAGCAGGCATCTGTGGCACTCGTTGCTGCGCCGCACAGGCCCGGGAATTAGTAAACGCTGTTTCTTGAATTGCTTATTATTCTTCTGTTTTTGTCCTGCTCCCATGAAGGATCTGCTAGTGTACGACACCTGCATAACTCGCTGTGAATTATGACAGTGTAAATATTTAAAAGGCTCCCTCCGTTCTGTATCAACACCACTCAGCCAGATTGACTAATCGTCTCTCTCCTCCTCTCTGTGGAGCGCTCCATCTCCCCAACCGGATATACTGTCGTTTCGCTGCCCTTTTTTTGTCTCGCCTCTTTTTTCTTTTTCTTTTTTTTTTACTTTTTCTCTTCTTAACCGTGATGGATTTCGCCATAGCAGGCTAAGTGACAGACGGACAAAGTGACGGCTGAGAACCCACAAGTTGCCGTGGTCAGTATGGAGTTGCCTTCTGTAGGGAGGAGAAGAAGAAACAGATGGCACAGGCAGATTCAATGTATTCAGCTGTGTTCTTAATCAATCCATCTTTTCTCTCCATGGCCCAGTCTTCCATCACCAACTTGCAGACATCTCCTCTGGCAACCCCCCCATCTCTGCTTTCCAGTCTTTCTCCCCATCCATGGCTTCTGTCACTGTTTTTCTGTCACTTGATTTAGACGTGACTATCTGCCTCACTCTCTGTCACTATCTTCCTTACTATCACTTTATGCTTATGTGTCTCATCCTTTGTCTACATCAACCAGTCTGTCCCTACATCTCTATTATCTATTCCAATCCAATAAGTTGCAGGGCTGATTACAATGAGGCAAGCAGTGTACTATAACAGGCAGAAAGAGAGAGGGAGCGAGCAACACAGAAAGAGGGGCAAATGAGTTAGACACAGATAGAGGCAAAGGATTGAACTCAAGGGGAGCTCAGGAGCCCCGCCAGTCAAAGTGATTGACAGGAGGAGGCCTTGCCGAGGAACATAACTCTCTCAGGGTATTAAATATCATTTTGTTTAAACATTGGGTTTGTTCTATTCCTTACCCATGTAGCCATCAAGGAGGACAGTAATTAGCATTCATCCCTTGATGATTGTGCAGACGACAAGCTCACAAAGCCTCACAAAATTACCAAAGCCCAAAGTACACCTACTGTGTATCATCTACTAAGAAATCTATCATCTTTTTGAGTGAACCTCGGTGTCAAATTCCACATAAAGTCTGTTTTATCTAACATCTCTTCAGTGCCACAAAATGGTCTGTCAGCTCACTTGAAAAGTCTCACATTCTCTGTCTCACTGGAGCAATTTATGTGAGGCAGCAACATCTCATAAATGCTGAATACATATTACACCATTGACATGGCTTTAAGTTTTTATGCCGCATGCAAGGGAGTTTTATCTGATTGTCTGTGTGGTGCTCAAAATCCCCACTAACTTGAAAGAGAGGGCATTTTCATTGCCACATATGAGCGGTTTGAGCCGGAATTAGCATTTTTATAGAAATGTAATGTGGTCATAGTGATTAAGTGTAATGGATGATACGCTTTTTTTTTTTTTGTGTGTGTCCATGGTCCACTTCCATCCTAATCAGTTCCCAGAATGAGCCGTTTTCTGTGTCACATAGCCGTGTACTTTTACATCCCCTCATTTTTTTTTAACATTTTCACAATCTGCGTTCTTTAACTGAAACTCTTCTTCTCCAGCAGGTGTATACTGATTCAGTGTTACTGTGAGATCTGCAAAATGCAATCTACACCTGAGTCTTTGGAAACCGTGGACCTGTTGCTGGCACCATTTGGGATGATAAACGATTATTGCAGCCACCAATTTAGCCAACAAACAAAAACAGATACTTCGTCCCTGTTATTATGTATCCATCACTTTTATGATCCTCCTCTGCTGCTGCTGACAAACTCCTGTTTCGCTTTGCAGAGCATTAGTTTCCTTTAATCAATTTTCCTTGTCTGCAGTTTTTGCCTTAAAGAGATTGTATTGTAGCGTTGGTATTAATACATATCCTCCTTTACCACACCAGGCGTAGAAGACAAATGCAGACGAGATTTGTGGCTCTGTGCTACTGAAGGCACATTAATCCTTCACTTCCTCAACAACAACTCGCATCATCTTGCTTCATTATTGTGTTTTTATGCTTGTTGCACTCAATTTTATCAGTATATGTACATATTTATATCTTTACCTTTTCCTTTTATTTTTCTACAGCGGCCTACTGCAGCCCTCCAAACAACCCTGTAAATGGCACAGTGCACAGTCTGACAGGCACCAAGTTGGGCAGCACCCTACGTTTCAGCTGTGACCAGGGCTTCCGTCTTATTGGCCAGAGCAGCGCCACATGCACCCGGACTGCACAGGGGATCTTCCAGTGGAATGCACCGGTGCCACTTTGCCAAGGTGAGGTTAGCAGCAGGTCATGAGAAGGCATGAGAGGGTGGAAGTTGTTGAGAAAAAAGATATAGTGATCTAATAAACTACATTGTTATATTTTTCTTAGGTCAAGTGGTTAAAATAAGCTAGATGACTTCACATTACCAATGAAAATCAACCTTTTGTCAACATTATCCTTGTGACTGAGCTCATTCAGCATTACACTTCTCAAAAGTGGTGAAATGATCCTTGAAACTGTGAAAAGAAAACAAGGTTTTTTTGCTCCTAGCCCCACTAGTATGTTGAGCATATTTTGTAACAAATGTATTTTTAAAGTTCTGATTTATATTTGATTGAAAAAAAAAAGTGTCACTGAAGACATTTACTTGGGATTAAAGTGTGATTTCATTTCTGACAGTGTGCCTTTACCAACAGTCCCAAAGCCTAAGGCTTGCTTCAAGGAAGCTCACTTCACCTTTCTTCAGGATTGCTTTGAAGATATCACTGCATCATATTAATGATTTGTGATTTACCTGAGCTGAATTGTTTGATATGTTAGTTATGGGTCATAGTCACAGTTATCTGCTTGTCACTGTGCTCAAATTTTGGAAATGATCAGTGATGGAATCAACAATAGCAACTGAGAGACTGACACATTATAAAAGTTTGAAACAAACATGAATAGCATGAAGTCATGCAGGAAGATGTATACAGTTCAGTTTTGAGATTTCAGGCTGTGATGCTGTTGTGCCAACTTCACTGATTTCCAGTCTCAGATTTTCTTTTATATTCCATCATAAACACATAAAATTTAACAGCTCTACTTCCAGAGATTAGTTTCCAGCCATCCATGTTAAGAAAATCACCTAAAAGTGAAAACAGAGCAGCGGAGCAGCCATTCTCTGGTCTGGTTTGGTCAGGTCTGCACCAGGTGTAATCTCCACATGAATTGCATGTGCTCTCTCTAGACATGATTGTTTACTACTGTGCAGATGGCAGCCCAAGCTAATGTTTACTTCACTGAAATGCTGGCTCTGAGATTGTGTTTGTACAGGAAGCCTGTTGTGAGCGAGACACTCTGCATATGAAGATGGTTATTGAAATATACTTGGCTACCTGTACTTTATACTACCAACCAATTTTTTTTTTTTTGCCCTCCTTACCCTCCTGATGCATCTTTTTTTCCCTTCCAGTCATGTCCTGTGGAATGCCAGTTCCTCCTGTCAATGGCAGTATTGTTGGCCAGGACTTCTCTCTAGGAGCCAGAGCCACCTACCAGTGTAATCCCGGATTTCGTCTTGCTGGGCCTATCACCACCTCGGTGATCTGTCAGGAATTTGGGAGGTGGAGCCCCATTGAGGCCCAACCTAGATGTATTCGTGAGTATTTGTATTTGTTTGTTTACCTGCAGTATTATTGGTAGTATTACAAACTCTGAAACATCTTAACTTTTAAAACTGCGTTACCTAGAGTGAGCTCCAAATATCCCTGGCAGGTTTGAGATTGACACTTGTCATACTTACACAGTGAAAAAATCATCAACATGTACGTCCACAAGCAGCTAAACAAATAATAATCGTCTCAGTGCTACCATAATGACACGCAAAAAAAAAATCAAAGAAGATTCACATTGTTGTAATGTTGGTGACCTTTGACCTTTCAGCTGTGACCTGTCCTGATATCGGCCATTCTGCTGTGGAGCATGGGAGATGGAGACTAATCTATGGAACTCAAAACCAATATGATGCTATTATGATGCTCATATGTGACCCAGGATATTACTACAGGGGTCAAAGGGTCATTCGCTGTCAAGCCAACAGCACCTGGAACTACCCAGATCCACGGCCAGTCTGCGAAAGTATGTGAAAACTGCACACCTTACAGTCTAATTTACCTCATGTTATTTAAGTTAACTGCCTCATTTCCACTATAAAACTCCAGAACCCGCCACCAGAAACAAGTAATTTGCCAGGCTTGAAAAATACTTGCATCAATTTTTATTTTATTTCCACTGTGATATTAAGAAAATAACATAACTAAACAGGCACAGATCCTCTAACCAAAACAAGCTGAATGAAAGCAAAAAAAAAACCATTTCCCAAACAAAACAAATGAATTTTCCTGATCATATTTTGACCATGAGGGATTACCCTGATATGATATTGTTTTCTTATTTCAGTCATCTCCTGCGGGGACCTTGGGACTCCACCAAATGGCAACAAGATTGGAACACTGACTGTGTATGGAGCCACTGCCATTTTCTCCTGCAACACTGGCTATACCCTGGTGGGCTCCCGGGTACGAGAGTGTATGTCCAATGGACTGTGGAGTGGAACACAGGTCCAGTGTCTAGGTGAGAACTTTAGCACCCAAAAATGATTAGAACTTCATAAAGTTCAAAACACCTATGTCTGATCTTGTCTCTTTCCTTTCATCCATAGCTGGTCATTGTGGCACCCCAGAGCCCATAGTGAACGGTCAGATCATTGGGGAGAACTATAACTATCGAGGCAGCGTTGTGTACCAGTGTAACCCAGGATTTCGCCTCATCGGGGTGTCAGTGCGAATCTGTGAACAGGACCACCGATGGTCAGGACGCACACCTGTCTGTGTCCGTAAGTCCCCAGAGGAAATATTTAATGAAGCTTGTTTAATAGTAAAGCTGTGGATGGTATGGTTACATTTTTCTAAATTGCTCAGATGAACAGGGGGGCTTGAAACTTCTTCTATTTGGAGCACTGGTAAACTAGCAAGCTGACTGAGAAAATTAAATCTCAAAACAAAACTTTTTTCCCAGTTTAATAGTGTTGCAGATCAGCGATTTGTAATAAGTACAGACATATATTACCTAGGGATGCTCTAATCAGGCCAGTTTAAGTCTGCCACCAACCACCAAATTAGTGTGATTAGACTCGAGCCATCTGGTACTGATCACCACTTAATTCCTGTTATTGAAGATTTTTTTTAACAGGAAGCTCCTACACAAGCTCCTGCATAAAATAAGCTATAAAAGCCACTGTTGCCTCATCTTTTACCATGAAGTTATCAAAGATGTTCACTGTATTCCTCTATAATACTGCTCCTTTTCTTACAAGAAGATTATTTTACGAGAAGCTAGTAGTGAAAATTGAGACATTAAGCCAGTGCAGCCGCAGTCGGGCCTGTGGCTTTAGAGTTTTACATCAGTGTCTGTACTGCGGTAAACTGCTGTCCAAATGTGTTACCATGATTTTCTTTCTCATTCGACTTTTTCAGCCATTACATGTGGGCATCCTGGCAACCCTACCTTCGGTATGACCCAAGGAAACCAGTTCAACTTAAACGATGTTGTGCGCTTTGTCTGCAATACTGGATATGTTCTGCAGGGGGCTGTGAAATCTGCCTGCCAGGCCAATGGGCAATGGAGCAACGCCCTACCCAGGTGTAAAAGTAAGTGTCAAGTACTGTAGATGCCCAAGCCTATCAGTCAGTGCATGTCTGATTTTTGGAGAAGCTTATGGCTACAGATGAATAGAAAGATAAATGCAAAGTACCAGGACTGATATAATGTAAGATTTGTGCCTAGCCCTGTTGGCATGGAAACATAAATTATTTCCAAGAAGCAATTTTGGTTACATGTAGAGTTTCCACTGCGCTCAGAGGGATTGGTGCGTTATATCAACAAACTAGGAAGCAATTTTAGAAAACAAAGTTGTGCGTGTGTGTGAGGGAACAAATGGCTAATATGAGAGAACAATTTATCAAAATAAAAGTCTCTGCCTTCATAATCTTAAAATCTGTTTTTATATCCATCTTTTTTATACAAATATGAGCAAAATGTGTAAATACAATCTCAGCACACCCACATAGACAATGCATAGGCATAACAGAGCAACTCTCCTGCTGGTATTTATATGTATCATGATGTGTGAATCATTTTAGAGCTAAATAAGCTTTGTGGATACCTAATGCACAGAGTGAGGGCATTTTCAGAAAGCGTGCTCATTTGCACGTACTTCCCAGTGGGAGTATGGCTCTCTTTTTGTATTCGCATCCATTTGTGTGGGTAGGTATTAAATTACCTATTGTATTGTACAAGGTCACATCTTCTGTGACCACAGATGACCCCAATCACAGAGAGAGCGGAGATGAAGAGCAGAGACACCCAGAGGGAGAAAGAGTTTAAACGACACACATTAGGGGAAATTGAAATGAAAAACCAAAGAGAAGCCTGGATTATTTAATTACCACAGTCTCGTCCACATGGTCCGTGGAGGGTCTGGATAATATTTACATGTGATGTTATTTCCTCTTAGCTTTAGCTTCCTCTGTTACACCTGAAGGCCTCACCTGTCTGTCAGGGAAACAAACTTGGTTAATAACCATGAAGAGGCAGCCAAAAACAATCACAGGATCCTTGAGCTTGTGTGAAAGACAGCATCCTTTGGAGACCAGCATTCTGGCTTTTGCTTATAAGAAGTACCCAGCCTCTTCTGCTTTGAATGAGCAAAGCAAGTACTTTTAATTTGGCAGTGTTTTTGCGACAAGCGATGTATCTCGGCAGCCACGTCTGTCTCTAAGTCCCCGCTAACTGAGGGCTTTGTGACAGGCACAGAAAGAGGCCACTCGCAAGGTCGGGCCCTGAATGTGACAAGGCACTGACAGAACCAGTGAAGGATTGACTTATGAGTTTGTTTTAAATGAGGAGAGAAAGGATTTGGCCCTTTTCTTTTTTTTTCTTTTTTTTTTTTTTTTTTTTTTTTAGACATTTATGAAGGGATGAGGAGGTTACAAGTCTCACAGGAATCCTTCTTCAGTTGTTAAAAAAAGAGAGAAGTACATTTGGCTGCTGCATGCATAAGCAGGCGAGATTTTCTCCCAGACATACGCCTTAAATCTCTCCGCTCTGCTAGTGACATCATATTAGCATTGGCCTTGTTTCCATGCAGATGCTGACTCTGAGATGCATTTTGCGGGAGACTGTGTGTGCCTCTCTGTGTATATGCGTGGCTGGATGTGGGCATCTGTTTTGATGGCACATTATCCTCACTGTTGATGTGGAGACATAAGTAGCTTAGAGGTCTTATCGTCAATCAGATTTATCACCTTAATTACAGCATGCGAGACATATTTGGTGAATTGCGCTCTCCTGCCTGCCATGTACTTCCTCCCCTGAGTGGAAAACTTTAAGTGCTTTGATGACATCCGCTTCATCCATCTCACCTTAGCCTCAGCTAGGCTTAACCATCGGCTTTTCTTTTATAGGTAGTGAGAGAGACAGAGAGAGAGAAAGAAGGGAATAGATACAGAAGGCAGGAAAAGACATGAGGGCGGGGCAGGAGTCAGTCAGACAAAGGTAATGATTTCTATGGTCCAGATTTTAACTACAAGAGTCTCTAGGCTCCATCAATAATGCAGCAAGCAGGAGCGCACCAGCAGCCCAGCCACTCTCCTATCCCTCTCTAATCACCACCAATTTGAGTCACAGCAACGCAGCCACAACACCGCCTTCCTTGGATGACTCGTGTGTTTATTTGCCTTTCAGCGATAAAAGGCAAGAGACACAGGACAGAAAAAAAACCACCCTCTGACACGCCACTTACAGGGCCGTTACTTGGCAGGAAGCCAAGAGGAGGAGAGGGTGACCGGGGTCCCCACTTCTGAGTGGAACAGAGATGAATTACCTCAGCCCTTCTTCCCCTCTCACTTTTATTCTTCTTTTCCTTTCATCCCTTCGCTTCCTCTCCCCCTGCCCACTGGGCCACACACAAAAATGTACCAGGAGGTCAGTCGTTTTAGATGACTGTTGGATCGCTTTTGAGCCCGTGCTGCCCGAGCACATTTATTCAAAGCTGAATTCCAAGCTTGGAAAGTCTCGTGCTGAAGCAGCTCCACTGCTTCAAATACGCTTTGTAGTGTTATTATGCAGTAAGTTGTAAATGATGGCACCACAGGTCAGCTCTTTGCTGGAAGGAATGCATTATAATAGGTATTTGGGGGGTGATTTAGCTGTGCTGGCCTGTTTGGGAGCATGGAATGAGAGAGCTTTTAGGCACATTAGCATACAATGGGTTCATTTTGGCTGTGGCAAAGGTACACTCATGGGGGCAAGACTGGCAAGGTAAACTGGGGCATAATGGCTGCGAGGGCACTCCCAAGCAGAGTTTTAGAAGCCAATAGAGTTTTGGCATCATATAGTACGCATTTGATTGCGATTCGCAGTATAGAACAGCAACTGTTCCTCGCCGTGTTCTGACTTTGTTGAGGCAATGTAAGGTTTTGGTTTGTGTCTTGTATGTGAGACACTCAAGATGGATTGGTGCTGGTAGCAGTCGTAGCCTGACATTCTGTCATGAATTTTAATATATTCTGCACCATCAGGGTCTCTTCCTCTCTAACTCTGTAACACACACACCCCCTCGCTGTCCCTCGCTCCTCACTCATCCCTCATTCTCCTCTTCCCTAACTCTCTCCATCTGGTGCTAAACTGACATGGTGCCTCTTCTCCTGTGAGCTCTCCATCCATCACCATCTCTGCACCACTGCAGCCAGCAGGAGACTGGCTCTAATGAAGCAAATGTTTATTTCCGGACTCTGCCTCCTACTTCATTTGGAATGGGGTGGATGGATGGATGCTGGATGGGTGGAAGTAGTAGATTAGGAAATGAATGGGTAGACAGTAAACGTTAGATTAAAAAAATGCTTATAAAATGGGCCTGCTCCCTGATTGTGTGAGAGACTCATATATCTATATCATGGTTGGAAATAAAATTCAGATTAGATAAATTGTACCTGAAATGCTTATACAAGATCTCTTTTTTCTCTCTGTGTCTTTCACCTCCTACCCACCTCCCACCTCTTCAGTTGTGAACTGCACAGAGCCGGGCCACGTAGAGAACAGCATAAGGCAGGTACTGCCCAGCGGGCCGCATCGCTACAGCTTCCAAACCACTGTGTCGTACCGCTGTAGCCCGGGCTACTACCTGCTGGGCACCAGCTCCATCTCCTGTCAGGGGGACGGCACCTGGGACCGCTCCCTGCCTAAGTGCCTGTGTGAGTATCTGAGGAGTTGGCTGTGAGTAAAACTGTATAAACAGGTCAGGCAACCCCCCAACTCCCACCACTCCTAACCCTAACCCTCACTTTTGTGCAAAATCATTTAACAAATGTACAACAAATAAACAATAGTAGTGATTAGTGGCCTATTTTATTATCATTATTATTATTATCATTCAATCAATTGTTTGGACTATAAAATGTAAGAAAATAGCAAAGCCCAGAGTCCAAGTTGAAAACAAACACAAATCCAATGTAACCCAACTTAAGAGCCATATAAACATTATGCAGTCTATTTATCAGTTCTTAACCATTGGCCTGAAACGTTTCCACTTGTTCACTGTTCTCTTTCCTCTCTGCTATGATTGGACAGTGGTGCTGTGTGACCGCCCCAGCATGCCACCTTACGCCCAGATCTCAGGCGACCGTCGGACAGTAGGCTCAGTCATCCGGTACAGCTGCATCGGCCAGCGTACCATCATCGGCAACACGACGCGAATGTGCCAGCTGGACGGCCAGTGGAGCGGCTCACCACCACACTGCTCTGGTACGGAAAACTACACCCAGATTGACTGACTGACAGTCTGGAACAATAAAACTGAAACTAACACTATTTTGTGAAGTAGATTAAAAAAAGATTTGAACAAACAGCATTAGATTGTTAATATTTAGAGATATCCATCTTCTCATCCTCTTCCCCTTCTCTGCCTCTAATACTTGATAAATTCAGATGTAATATCACAACCCAGTCACAATGATGCCCTCATAATGCCAGGCCAACAAATAAAGAGTTCGGGTGGCAGCTGTTAGCAGGTAATGAGCGAAGTAGGTGGACCAAAGATGGAGCTGCCTGTCTGCTCCACAGGCCTCAAGGGCAAAGAGAGTGTCCTCCATAAAACTGCTTTAATCTGCTCATATTAGAGTGAGGAACAGGGATGCCCACACCTCAGCTGGGTTATGAAGCGCTATAAGGACATCGGCCCACGTACTTCCTCTCCCCTTGCAGCGATTCGCTTCAGGGCTCCTAGTATATCTAACACACATGCGAAAGGCCAGACATGCGAGTGAATATCCACAAGTACAAACACGTTCACAAAGATTTGACAGAGATGCACAAACTAGCGCACACGCAGACCCATAAGCCGTGTGACAATAAAATAGCACGCTGACAGTTTAATGTCACAATTCATGACACTCGTATATATCCTGGGAATTGCTAGTGTTCTTTCAACGGGCTATAAAAACAACCTTTTTATAAAGATTTGCCCGACTTTCTTAGCTAAGCACCATTATAGTGATGTTGACCAGCTCCTTATAAAATAAGGAGTGAGAGCAGTACACAGCAGTACTAAACGCTTTGTGATTGTTTTAAATTAAGGATGTGGAAATATGTAGCAAGGCGCAAAAATATATGTATATGTTGGGTCAATGAATCGTATGGTGCAATTTCTGCATGTTGAACAAATATATATAATGAAAATGAATGTATTTGGGAAGCTAGTTGCTGCTTAGGGAGACAAGGCAATATTATTTTCGTGTTGGATGCAATCAGGTGGGAGGGGGTCCGTGTTCCTGTTCTAATCACATTGTTATTGTGTTTTAATATGAAAACATCACTCATGTGGAGAGCACTTTTCTAATGTGTGTTCTCGCGGTAGTCTTACATAGTCAAAAATATGAGCAATTTTTCTTGCTACATTTTTTAAATTCATAGATATAACATATAAATGTGTTCCTCTTTTTAAATCTTTGCAGGAGATTCTGCCGGGCTGTGTGGAGACCCAGGCATTCCCGTGCATGGTATCCGTCTGGGCGAAGAGTTTACAGTAGGCAGTGTTGTCCGCTTTAGCTGTGAGCCCGGTTATATGCTGAGGGGTTCACCGGAGAGAACCTGTCTGGCCAATGGGAGCTGGCTGGGAACCCAACCTGAGTGTCATGGTAAGGAACACATATGCTGTGAGTTTTTATTCTTCTCTGTCAAACATAGATTGATAGAAGGGGGTGGTTTCCTTTTTAAAAAAAAGAAAAAAAAAAAAAAAAAGAAAAAGAAAAACCGTGCCTACTATTTATACAGCAGGATCACACTGCTCAGCATTTGCAGCAAAGTTTTTACCAAAGTGCCTGGAACTCTGGTTTGAGTTTGTTTTCAGGAGAATAAATATGGATTTTCGCCTCATCTCCTCAGCCCTTACCCTCACAGAGATGCTGGAGGGGTCATCTGCATGTGCTTCATATCCTTGGACAGAACTAACATTTCCTGTGGGAATATGAGGCACTGAGAAATTTGTTCCTAGTTATTTGGTCCTTATGTAACGTAAGCAAGAGCTTGTGCACAAAGTTGGTGGTAAGTTGAGTGCGTTCGCAAGTTGAATGTTGTACTTCACAAAGCCTGTGGCTTATCAGCGATTCTGTTCGTGATTTTTTATAGACTGAATCTCAAGGTTGCTCCCCCAAGTAAAGAAGTGTATAAATGTCCTCTTGTGGGGTGATGGTAAAATAACTTCAATAAGCAGAATGGTGTGGCAACTACCTATTTGTGGTGAAGAGGGAGCTCAGCTCTAAGGTGAAGCTTTCGATTCAGCAGTCAGTTTAGGTTCCAGCTCTCACTTGTGGCTATGAGCATTTGGGTAGTGATCAAAAGAGTAAAAGCCTTTAGGGATAGGGCGAGCATCTTGGAAACCAAGGAAGAGCTTGGAGTAAAACAGATGCTCCTTTGCATCAAAACCAGTCAGTTGTTAAAGAATCTGATCAGGTTGCCTTCCCCTTCGTACATTTGAAGCATTGTGGACATGGAGACCCTGCAGCACAGCCAGAAGACCATGGAGAGATTACATTTCTCATCTAGCCTGGGAACACCTTGGGATTCCTTATGAGGAGCTGGAGGACATTACTGTCGAAAATCATGTGTGGGCCGCTGATTAAAGAGACCAGTAATGAATGAACACAGTATCTGGCCATGTAGTAACATGTGATACAGGGCAGCTGGGTAGTTATGAAGTTGAAGTTGATGCTCACTGAACTTTTAATGCACTGTAGACATATATAAGACATCTACATTTCATTTAGTTTCTTTTCACTAACTTGTATTTCTTTCAAGTGCAACGTTTTCCTTCCCTTTCTTCTTCATTTGCTCAGTTTAATTACTCCCACTGCATTAGTTTTACAAACCTTTGTATGCATAGATTGTAATTTCAGGGGTAATAGACATCCAAATCATTTCCTCGATTAGAGTTAATTGTGGCCTTAGTGAATGTTTTAGGATGTGGGCACTTTACTAATGAGTATTTATATTTCCTCATCTCTGCATTTTCATGTCTTTTCAGAGCTGATCTCAACAAATCCCAGCACTGAACTGCACATTCTGAGCTTTTCTCCACTCACAGTTTGTGGTTAATACTGTAGTCACAGTCACTGATTGTGTAATTAGATGCTGCCTCTTCAAATTGAATGAAAGACACGTGGCAAGTGTGCATGTGTTTCGTGTGTGTTTGCAAAAATGTAAAACAACGATTAAACCAGAGAGTGAGGGCACAACAACGTAATTTAAAAATTTTTGTTCTTGCGTTCATTCTGCTGCTGACACCTGAAAAAGCTGACCCTCTGAATGTGTGGTGTGCGACCAATCGATTTGGCACCACACTACCCATTATTATTGCTGAGACAGGACAAAGACATTACAGACAATGTAAGAACTAGAGTGCAATTTTTCTTTTTCTGCTGTCAAATAACTTGCATGCAGCAGAAAAAATAAAAGAGCCAGGCTGTTAGGGATGATCTCAAGAGGTGAGTGTTTGAAATCAGCCTGATTTAGATTATAATCAAGTCAATTACTGTCAATAGTGTGCGTGGTTTATTTTTCCAGTATCCTTGCAGCTGCTCTAGGCATTCAGCATCTAGTTTGTTGCTTGTCAGAGTCATATTTCTCTGGTTTCATTGGGTCAAGGTATACTGTATGAACAGTGGGGAAAGGTATTTCCAAGGGTTTTTAAGGGTTTTTACTCATCACCTAGCAACACTAAGATGATAAAACCATCCATAAACTTGGCTGCAGTTTTACACCTTTGAGCTGGCAAGTTATACCATGCAGTTATATCTAGCAATTATGTTGTATTATTTCTTACCTGCCCTTTTTCCTACTCTCCATGAACACCTGGCCCTTTTTCTTTCCTCATTGCTGTATCCAGTGTGTTATTTCCAGAAACTTGATCCTGTTTCGCATGCTGTTTTCACTTGTGCTCTTAACACCCCTTGATCACACACACGCACGCACACACACACACACACACATATACACACACATAACCTCCTCCTCTCACATCACCACCTCTCTCCCTCGCCTCACTCAGTCTCATTCCCTTTCTGGTGTGGTATGCCTGCTAGCTGAGGTTGCCCACCTGTTCTCAGTTGGCACAGACTTCAAGGGCCAGGCCACATCTGGTCATTACGGGAGGGCGAAGCCCACAGGGCTCTGAGGGCCCAGGGCAAGCTGGAGACTGTAATGAACAGAACCATCGCTGGCGGCCGGACAGACACCAAGGGATTTTTCTGAGCAAAGGATGTGTCCATCAAAGCAGAGTTACTTATGAAGTAGGATGCAGGGGAAGATGATGGTGGTGGTGTTCGTGTGGACAGATGAAGAACAGAGGGAAAGGGAAAACAAACCAAGTGAGGATGCATATCCGGCACATGAAGGAGTATAAAAGTGATGTAGTAGAACAGCAACCTAGATTTTGTTCAGCTTGTGGAAACCTAAAACACATATTAAGAGCACTATAAATCTCTATATGGGAATATATGTGAAAAGAGCCTTTTAAGAACCAAACCTTTGTGATTCCCTGAATGTACTCATAAGAAGAATACAAAAGACTCTTGTTGGTGGTTCATTGCCTCTACTGATCACTCACTAGAAGATATACATGAGTTTATTTACTACTACTTGCAGGGTACAAAAATGTAATTCAATGTTTTAGGCAGTCACACAGGTTTAATAGAAAGACACGTGGATGGAAAAAAAGAGTGAAAATTCAGACTCGGGTCTCTGATCTCTCCACAAATGCTTAGATGAAGAAAAGTCTACAATGGTACAGTACCAATACTCTTCTCCCCACACCACACAGATGCACACACACATATACAATACAGTACATATACACTTTCACCTCTGGTCACTTAAGATTTAGTCTGTAAATGAAAAAAACCTAATCCTTTCCTGGTGCCATCTCTGTTTTCTCTCTCGTTTTTCAGTTATCTCCTGTGGGAATCCGGGAACTCCACGCAATTCCCAGATCCTCATCCACGATGGCCTGACGTTTTCCAGATCCATCACTTACGCTTGCAGGGAGGGTTACTACTCCACTGGCCTGCTCACCCGACACTGCACTGTGAACGGGACCTGGACCGGGAACATGCCTGAGTGCTCGGGTAATTAACGACTCTCATTTGGATATTCATGCTCCAGTGTAGGATGCTTTCCTGTTTGCTTGGCTTATACACATTTCTGAGTTGTCTTCCTGTTGGCCTTTCATCTTTATTTGTAATGCAACAGTAGTTTGCAGATTGCAATTTTGGTAATAGTTGCAACACCAGTAGAATACTGTACATATCCAGGCCTTGTAGAGAAGTAATTGCAACATAAATATGTAATATTATGCAAGAAATGCAGAGAACATGGAAGTCTAGTTGTAAGAGAAGATATTTCTCAGCAATGAATGACTCATGTGGTTCCCTGGATTAGTAGGAGGACATTGGTTGAGAACATTTCAGTCCACTCAAATGGAACAGGCATGACTGACAGCCCTTTATCATTATGTTTAACAAAAGGCACACAGCTGCTCTACAGAGCCAAGAGACCCTGGCAAATAGAGGTCACAAAGAGAAGCAGTTTCTTCTGAATGGAGGGGATAAACCCGAAGCAGCACCATTATGGATTTCAGACGTCAGTAATCCATAGGAGTAAAAGGGTACATGTTGACACACTTAAGTAAAATATCTTCAGCGAGAGAAAGAGGTGAAAAGGAGCATTTTAAGTTCAATTATTTCTATTGATCCGAAAGAGAAAAAAAAATGCTAAAAAGGGATGTACCTGACAGAGAAGCTGTCTCCTCTCCATTTTAGCTTTAATTTATTTACTACGAGTGAAATTTAAACTCATTTACAAACTTTCACATCTACAGTATCTTGCATTGAAATAGTGGATTGTCTGCCGATGACAAACAAAGAGTACTGTTTTGCAAAAGGAGAAACTATCTCAGTGTGTCCCGGCCCTGTAGGTATTGTTACAGGATAGATAGGCATTGTGGCTTCAAGCAACACACTCTTACCAGCCCAGTGGGACATATAAGTGCTTGCTCACTACACCTCCAATAGACCTAGTTTCCTCGCCCCACTGGGAATTGTGCTGGAATGCTGGTCATATGCCTTTAATAATGCATTTTTGTCCCAAGGAAACTTAGCGTTGTCCTTCTGTGCCCTGGATTTTGCCTCTCAGACATTTCCAGCAGAACGGAGCCACGATGCTGCTGAGTCACACAGTGGAATTCTCACTGTTGTTACTCAATCACACTGTTTTCCCCCGCAGGATGTAAAAGTATAATCAAGGAGAAATATGGTTCATTCTGGAGCCTGAGGGAGCTACTGTAGAGGGACACCCATCACAAGATTTAGTCTCTCTGCATCCTAAAAGCTCCAAACTGTAGACAATCAAAGTCAAGTCAGATAAAAAGCATTAAATCCCACCATGGGTGACTGTGATTGAAAAGTCTGTCAGTTGCATTGTAAGTAATATTTTTAAGCGTATATATACGGTATAAATGCAGTATATTATCCAAAAGTGGTTGTCCATAAATGAATGAAGTGCTGATTGCTTTTGAATACACATCCACTGCATTGCTTTTTAGATTGTTAAGTTTTGTTGGTGAGGTGAACTGCTTGGGTTAAGTGCCTGTAACAGTTCATTAAGTTTGAGGCTCCATCCAGGGTGCAATTGTAAATAGGATTTTTACACGTTTATATTTCATCCTAAGTGTGTGATATTGATTCCCTGCTTTACCAAGTACAGCAAAATATGTGGTATAATGAGGTAGCAAACTTTTCTTTTGAATTTTCCTTAATCCAGACAAACTTCTTCTGCATCTCTGTCCTTGTGTTCAACTACTTCTACCGTCATTGTGCAGTTGTATTAGGCAGTTTAATTTGTTCTCACTCACAGTTTTTTATTGTTTTGTCAGTAATCAACTGTGGCGACCCTGGAGTGCCAGCCAATGGGGTGAGGTTAGGGAATGATCTCACCTACAACCACACAGTCAGTTTCCAGTGTTCTCCTGGTTTCACCATGGATGCTGACCGGGCCTCCACTCTCATCTGCACCAAGGACCGCACCTGGAACGGCACTAAACCACTCTGTAAAGGTACAGTTTTGTAAGGTGTAGGATGACATTTGGGTGATGAGATGAATCTAGACGATGGTATTGGCTACAGGACAGCGAGGAGTGATATGGAAGGATAGGACAGATGGATGGCAATTGTTGTTGTTGTTACAGAATTAGACATTTACCATTACACTATTACTTACTAGGACTGGAATGTATCATCCTGCAATGCATCTCTGTCTCCTTGTAGCCATCGTATGTGGCCCACCACCCACCATCCCTAACGGTCAGGTCGTCGGTACAGACTTCACCTGGGGCTCCAGCATCAGCTACTCCTGCAACCAAGGTTACCAGCTGTCCCTGCCCACTGTGTTAACATGTCAGGGCAACGGTAACTGGAGTGGAGAAAAGCCGCAGTGCTTCCGTAAGTGGCATCATGCTGGAATGCCAAATTACATTACATGTCTCTGACATTGATTGGGAGTATATAGGCCTATATTATGTATGACATTTCACCCCCCTTGGAAAATATTGAATTAAAACACAGCATGGATTGCGGATCACCTCTGATTCCTCTGTTTCTCTTTTTCCTTCCTCCTTTGTCTTTCCAGCTGTGTTCTGTGGAGACCCAGGAATGCCAGCCCAGGGCAGGAGGGAGGACCGAGGATTCACCTATCTCTCCTCTGTCTCCTTCTCCTGCTACCCTCCTCTTGTCCTGGTGGGCTCTACCAGGAGATATTGCCAGTATGATGGCACTTGGAGTGGCACGCAGCCCTCTTGCATAGGTAAGCTATTGAAAAATTCAAATACAATATTTGTTGTAATCTAAGAATTGGCATACAGGATGGCTTGTGGAGGTTTCTGGCATCAGTGTGCATTGCCCATGGCCTCTATTACCAGAGCACAGAACATTGAATATTGTATGCAATTACTTATATAACTGGAGTATCTGTGTGAGAGAAGCCATCCATTGGCTTGCTTACATTCTGCCCTCTTATGTATTCCTTGGCTTTTGCATTCAAGAATTAATGCATGCAAAAACCATTTAACCTAGCTAACAAGCTGTATTGATCCTGTTTTCAGATCTCATCTGTGTGATTAATTAAAACAACCCAGAACATTTTTTGTCCAGTTGTAGAATGACTGTGGGTTCAGTCAAGTCTCTCTTCACCACATAGACATAGTGCGGAGAAACTGTAGGTCTGGCAATGCCACAGGCTTTGCACGAGGGGCCAGTTTCACCAAACATGCAAGCTGTGGGACATCAATCGCTCTCCTGTTCATTTTGACATATTTCACAGATGAGAGCAAAAACCATTTGTTACCTGTGTATGAGCATGTAAGAACCCTTTAGGGCTCGCAGATTCACTTGCATTTGACAAACATGATGCTGCTACCATTTGCGAATTTCATGTAAGCAGTGCTTGCAACACACTTTTGTGAAGCTGGTCCCAGTATCAACTTTGGCCTTCTTCCAGCAAAAATATTGTTTCTTACTGCAATAAACATCCTTAAAACAGGAAGAATAACACCATTTCTGAAGCACTTTCTGCTGAAGCACTCGAGGAAATCACGCTTGTGTGATCAAAAACACCTTGCGCATAAAATAAAGTGCAGTGTTCCAGCCCTCAGGTCCATTGTGGTATTTGAAGTTTAAGTAGGAAGCTGTAAAATATGCACTCATGCAAACCTTTGACCCGATAATAGTTAAACATTAATGCATTATAGCCATGGGTCACCAATAATTCCACTGCCTATGCATCATTTATCAGCCAGTTTGTTTAGCCACTGATGAAAAACCATAGTGCCTGACATGTTGGAAAGGTTAAAGTAAGATTTAGTCAGATTGAATCAATTAAAAACACAACCTGTGTTGTACAAGTACATTGTGCAGCCACTGCTGAAGCTGTTTTACAGCACATCTTGCAGCACCTCATAGTTGCTCTAAATTCCCTGGAAAGACTGGCCTCTTGTGGCTTCTTGTTCAACTTCTCAATTTGATGGTGACTTCAGTGAGACTGATCGAAACCCCTTGAGAAATGAGAAATGTTGCGTTTGGTCCTGACCCATAGCCTTGGCAACTGGGATATGATGAAGATGGTAAATATTTACATTTTTATTATTGTGATTGTCATGACATAATCGTTCTATAACTCTCTAGGCTGCAAAAGAAAAATGACCCAGTGAAAATTAACTTGCGGGTTGTGAATATAATGCATTAGCTGTTCGTGTTTTTAGAAAAATGATGTAATGGTCATTGGGGTTGTGTGGACTGATAATTGTGTTATAAGCTGCTCTGAGCAGGGACTGAGAGTGGGTTTAGATCACTTATAAAAGGCTTTGTAGGTTTTGTGAATACACACATGTGTGTGCGTGGTTGTTGAATACAGTAATTTATGGCCTTCACTCAGTGTTTCCTGTAAAAATTTCCCCATACACAGTCTCTGAGGTCATGTATATAGTGGGTGACATATATAATAAATGGTACTCACTTTAACATGAGAGTAGTTATTAAAGACTTGTTGTTTATGTGTGTTTCAGATCCCACTCACACTACCTGTGGAGACCCCGGGACTCCTCTATTTGGAAATCAGAACAACAGTCAAGGCTACCAGGTGTGAATATGTGGTCACGCAAGAAATGTAATTCATATATGTTGAAAAAAATCAAATGAAAGCCTGAACCTTGTATTGTTTGCAGTGTGGCGTGCAAGGTTAAATCAATGACTAACAGGAAATTATTCTCAGCTTAGAACTGTCTTTCTACACCATAAAGCATATGGATAATATTTTCTTCTACTGCTCACTTGTTATTTTCTATACACAGTTTCATAGGAATAGCTTACCAGTAGGCTTTATTCAAACATGTGCTGCAGTAGTATTATTACTTTCCTCAGTCATAATTAAAGTCAGTTACAAATTAGTGTTTCAAATTCAAGTTTAAAGAATGTAATAGGCCCTTTTTACTGGTAACATTTTGACATGTCGCAGTGGGAAGAGTACAGGTGTAAATACTAAAATGAATTCAGCTGCTACAGTTTCAATGTCTGGTATTCTGTGTGCTGGTTAACTGTCACACTATCATGGCTTGCTGGACCCCATACAACAGAGCCATTGGTAAAATATTTTTATGACAAGTCAAAATGTCTGGTGTGAAAATGAAGTACTAATGAAACACATTTAACACCCACAAAATATAAAACATTTGTTGAAAACACTTCCGTAATATTTTCCATAATAATTTAAAAGATGATGCTCTCAGCTGTGTTGCTCCACAAATTCAAGAAAATATAAGAATGGTAAAGTTAGAGTTCCAAGAGAGTAAAAACCAAGGTAATGTTTTTTCTTTGAAATAGGTAACAAATACATATCACTATTTTGGAATAACGAACCCAAAGACATGATCATTAAACAGCCACATTTGTGTGCAAAATCAGTTTGCTCTACGTATGTTCGTTGGCAAATCCACATCTTCCTGTGTGTCCTCTTACAGATCAGCGGCACTGTGTTCTTCAGCTGTAGAAAGGGCTACTTACTGCAGGGCTCCATTTCTCGCACTTGTCTGCCCAACCTCACTTGGAGTGGTTTTCAACCTGAGTGCATTGGTAAGCACGCTGTCTGCTCATATTGGAAAAAAAAACATACCTACAGTTAAGTGGGAAACATAACCTTGAGCAAACGTTTGCATTACTCACAGTGTAACACCTACATTTTTATATATACTCTTCCTTGACCCCACACCTCCACCTTGGCTCTTTTACACTTTTTCTCTTCCACCATATTTTCTCTCTCTTGTCTGTCACTCCTCTGATCCCTCTCCCTGCTCATCTCCTCATCCCAACTTTAACCTCTTTCTCTAAAACCCCGCACTCTTCTTCTTTGGTCTCTTTAATCCCCCTCCCTCTCTTTTTCTCTCCTTTCCAGCCCACCACTGCAGCCAGCCGGAGTTGCCAGCCCAGTCCGATGTGAGAGCCATTGAACTGCCGTCCCTTGGCTACACGCTGATCTATACGTGTCAGCCTGGTTTCTACTTGGCCGGAGGATCAGAGCACAGGACCTGCAGGTCCGATGGGAGCTGGACAGGGAAACCACCTCTGTGTGCAGGTATAAACATGGTTACATTACATCAATAGGGGAATATGGGGAACGCAGACACATGCATACAGGCACAAATACGCACAGCGATTCATTCACCAATCCTCATAAGATTACAGATGTGTGCACCTGGCCACCTAGTTTCCCCAGGAAGCACGCAGATGTATTACACACTTAAAACACTGCACCTCTTATTCATAATGTGCTGCTTTCCATTAGCAGTGTTTATTGAAAGCACTGGGGTCTGTACTGGTTCGGGATTCAGTGGTGACTCAGGTTGGGAAATTGGGGATTCAGCTAATGTTGATGAATAGCTCTGTTAACACTTGCTTATTCTCAGACACATGCCAGGGTAGAATTGCCCATCCATCACACAATTACACTGCATGGAATTACACACACACAGCCTCAAACGCACACACACACACACACAAGCTTTGAAACATTAACAAGGGTGCAAAACCTGATTAGGCCAATGCATCCCATTGATTAGGTTAGCAGAAGTACCTCTTATAAATGGCGAGGCAGTGTTAACAAGGTCTAGCAGACAAATAGACTGCCATTAAGACACCCCTAAGTATTGGCCTAAATACATATAGGAAAAAAAATAGACTCATCGACACACAATTATCTGGGGTAGACGAATGCTAATAGCCTAAAGAGAAAGGCGTACTAGAGGAGGATATCTGCGTGATGGATTCCACGCCAAGCTGTTGCTGAAATATAGAGGGTGATGGGTATTTTTTAAGGGCATGCCATTAAGAGTGAAGGCAAGGAAGAGAACTGGCCTTAGCACATACAGGATATTAACAGCACCTGTGGGTGCAGTAATGGAAGGGCAGCTCAAAAGACTGGCAGCTAATAAAGTCGAAGGCTGTGTGGGTGTGTGTGTGTGTGTGTGTGTAAATTTATCCGAGGTGATGTTTGTGCTCATAAACTACCATTCAGTGAACCTGTCTTTGTTTGCAGTTGTGTGTAAAGCCCTCTTTGCTCTGTTTGTCTGTGTGGGTGTATGTTTACTACTATGGTGTAGTCCTGCGGTCCCGTGCGAGTAGTAAGGTATTATTAAAGTGCTTCCCTTGAAACTGCAAAACTGTGACTCTAACTTTGCTCTTTGACGCACGAGGCGAGTCCTGTCGCAGGCGGCCCTTACTCTGGCCACCGCAGGGGTTATTTGGCATGGAGGTAGTCAGGAAGTGCTGATGGTGACATCCTCCTACTGCAATTACCTCAGAGCTGTTTTGTGTTTAAATCTGATCTTTTCCTCTCGCTTCCTGAGGCATACACTGCATCTGTTTACAGGATAATCTTGTTAAGTATTTTCTTTTTGTTAACTTTGTGTTGTTGTGCTCTCCAGCTGATAATCGCCCAAGTGGTAAGAGCCCAGTGGGCACAGTGCAGGAGCCACCTTCCAAATTACCAGGTAAAACAGGTTGTTCTTGTATTTCAAAATTTTTTCTCAAAAGAGAATCTCAAAATATATCACTAAACTTTAATTTATTAATATTCATCTCCATTACAATATGTATCAGAATAATAAATTTTCTCTCTGTGGTATTTATCTTATCAATGATTCATTCTTTCTCTCAGATTAGATTCTAATCAGTAAAATAACGTGGCAAATGATTTGACATCCCTGGTGTAATTGATTCTACAGTCAGTTTTCAATCTGTGTTTATTGGTGCTTAAAAAAATGAAAATATTATTTATAATATTATTATATTATTGATATTTATAAAAGTAAAAAGAAGAAAATAATCTCTCTGCCTCCTCTGTCCTTACCCTTTGCCTTTGGCCATGCACCCCCTCCCTTTTTCAGTCCCTGCAGGTGTGTTTGCTAAGAACTCTCTGTGGAGGGGATCGTACGAGTACCTGGGGAAGAAGCAGCCGGCCATGCTCAGCATCACTGCCTTTGAACCCTTTAGCAACCGGGTGAACGGGACACTCATCGACCACAGCGGAGTGGAACTCAAACTGGCCGGTTTGTATTTCATAAATAGAAGTCACAGTCAAACTCACACACTCACGCACACACACACACACACACACACACACACACACACACACACACACACAAACTCTCTTAATTTTTAATTTGACCTCATTCTCATATGAGAGACCCTCTGTATAGCATTTTATCCAAACAGACAATTGTCAGGCAAATGCAAGTGAGGACTAGGAAGCAAAAAACTAATGTGGTCCTTACATGGAGTAGATCATTGCTGCCGTTACAGAACAGCAGATATTTCTTTTTTTTCCCCGTGCTATAATCACTGTGCAGCTGTGATCATTAAGAAGCAAATTTGCTTCAGTAAAGGCTTGGACACTTCACTCCTCTGTACCTGGGTGCTATCAGTCTTCATCACAGTGTCGTAAAAATTAGTTTCTACAGCTTCAAACTGAGAGCCACTCTCTCCACTGAAAGTAATGTTGTTGATTAAGCTAAAGCTAAATTGCTTTACTGTAAAATTTAAGTATGAATATTCAACCAAATTTTCACAAAACTGTTTGTGAATACAGCATTGGTCTCAGATTCCAAAAACTATTAAAAATATATCAGTGAGCCATTTCATTTCACTGGGTGACATGTCCCCCAATTAACATGAACATGGGCACTGTCGTTTAATTTGAATTTATCCTATATAGACCATCATAATGCTGTAAATACTCACTCGTGTACCCAATCAACAGCTGAACATAGTCCCCAGTAAATGCAGACATCTGTGTGCAGAGTTTTTATTTGTCTTCTGTAATAGTCTCACTAACAAAGTGCTACTGAAGTCAGCAAACAGGAGGACGCCACAATGTGAAATGCAATGTTTGCTCACAGATTTGTAATTGTGTACAAGCGTTGCTGCTAAAGTTACACTTGTGTTTGCGCTTCAGTCGAGACTACAGCTAATAACAAAGAAAGGCTGTTAGACACAGAAGAAGGACTCAAGATAACTTGATCAGAGGATGAGTCACCTTTTCTCATTTTTCTTTTTCTAATTCCTAGTGTCTCATACAGTTGCATGCAACCCTGGGGAAATTACTTGTTACTTTTTGTTGATTTTTGAAATGAAAAGAAGTAAAAAAAAATTGAATCTTAATTTTAACTCCATCTGTCCACATCTTGGATTTGCCTTTCTACCCAGCAGATGTGCAGTTTCACCTGAAGTTTTCTTAGTTTTCCAGACTTTATCTTGACTTCCACAGTTAATTTTAACTGCCATTCCTTAATGACATTTCGGACAGTGGAAATTTCAAGCTGGAAGTGCTTTCATATCTTTTTATAGTCCCTCCTGCTTTGCGGTCAGCCTTATTTTCAGATCCTCGGTCAGTTGCTTAGAGGAGCTTGTGGTTGTTAAGTGTTACCACAAGTTTTGAAGAGTTGAGAATTTATCACTGCTGGAAATGTCATCAGCTGACAGTTCCTAATGACAATTCGTGACCAATCCTAAAGAGTCAATTAAAGCCCAACAAGTTAATAAAGGCTTATAAAGGAGTGTTTTACAAATAAGTAAAATTAAGTAAGTCAATTAAGAGTGAATGAAACCCTTCCTGCTTTAAGTCTAAAGAAAAACCGTTCCTGAGTCCCATGATGGTATCATAAAATGCTTGACGTGATGTCATACATTTATGATGACTGTTGACATTCAATTATCTTATGTTTCATGCGTAGTTTGTGATATTTCTTCATGGCAGGCGACAAACTCCTGTCTCTACTTTGTACAAAGGTTGATGTACTGTGAAACACCAGGGATGATGGAAATAAGTCCGGGACTTTATCCTCATATCCCCGACAATATCTAATATGTTGGATATGTTGTCAGTAAACCTAAACATTGTAAGGTACCCAACTTTTGCACATGCCACAATTACCGTTTAACTTATTCTATTTTTGAATTCATGAAATAAAAAGTAACAGAGGAATTACATTTGAGGAAATGCTCGGTTCTTATGTCTCTTTGCTCCAGGTATTGTGTTTGCTTCTTTTTCACTTCAAAAATCAGCAAACTCTAACTATATCACATAAACGTTTTTGGGTGGTTTCAGTGCGGCTGTTGCTCTGAAGTGACTGTAAACCTGTTCTTCTTGAAGGTACATATAAGAGGGAGGAAGCTCAGCTGCTGCTGCAGGTCCACCAGATCAGAGGACCTGTGGAGATCTTTGTCAACAAGTTCAAAATAGACAACTGGGCCCTAGACGGACATGTAAGTGCAAGTACAGGGTCAGATTCAATTCACCTTTCTTTGTAACGGCTATAAGACATTACATCACACTCACACACACCAGTATTGTGAAATATGCGCAAGCACACATACACACTAACCTTGTCACTCTGTGGAGATGGAGGGCCCGCCGAGAGTTTTCTCTTTAATTAAAATGTCAGTTAAATCATTGCCTGGTAATCAGGGCTCGACATACCCCCCCTCCACTCCTCTCTCCAATATTATCGCCCACCCTCTAATGCACATACACTCCAGATATAATTTAAAAAGCAGGTTACAGTATATGTGTGTGTGCCACCGCATATGTGTTCTTACGTGCACGTTTCACCAGATGCACAGACATGAGTGTTCACTCACAAGCTTGTCTCGTGCAAAGTGGAGCGTTCCTCTTGTGTAACATGCTTGCGTGTGTGCGGCGCGCCTGAGTTTGTTTATGTTTGTGCTCTTGAGCAGAAAAACGTCATATTAAATGTCAGCCATAAGAGCGCCTCTCAGCTCCTTTGACATGATATTTCATTTTCTGCGTGCACCAGCTGCTGACACTTTGATGATACGCTCCTTTGTAAAGCCTGGATGTGACACATAAAGTGTCTGTCTTCCATTCCTCTCTCTCCCTAGGTGTCCTACATCTCCTCATCCAACTCCTTTGTGTACCAGGGATTTGTCAGAGGAAAAGGCTTTGGCCAATTTGGTCTCCAGAGACTGGGTGAGTGACCTGTCCATTTGGTTATAGAAACCACTGTGATTAAGTGGTCTCCTGGGCAAAGACTGAGTGTCTTTTTTTTTTTTTTGTTGGTATCTCTATCACTGAAATCTTTCCCTTAAAATATACAGTCCAGACAGTGACATAGAAAGAGATATAGCCCTCTAAACACAAAGAGCCCAAAGTTTCGGGATTCAATAGTATCTGGGCAAACACACATGAAGTTCAACAAAATGATTTAATATTTTATGGAAAATCCTTTGTAGTCAGTGACTGCCTGAAGTCTGTTGACTAACAGACATCAGCACACACTCTGTATCTTACCCGTTGATGCTCTCCAATGAAATCATCAATAAATGCCAGTGTGCCAGCTCCATTGGCAGCCATTCATACCCGAGCCATAACAGAACCAGCGCCATGTTTGACAGATGAGGCGGTGGCTTTGGGTCAGGAGCTGTTCCTTTTTTCCTCCACACTTTCCTCTTTCTAGCATTTTAAAGGAGGTTGATGTTTGTCTTATCAGACCATAGAACTTTGTTGCAGAACTCCACCTGTTTCTATGTGTGTGTTTTTGTGAACTTCAACTTAGCCTTTCTGTTTTTGAGTCTTACCAGTGGTTTGCATCTTGTGTTGAATCCTCTGAGGTTGTGCTCATGTCTCCTCTTGGTCGTTGACGAGGAAACATGCACACCATGCAGGAGAGCGTTCTTCACTTGCTGTGCAGTCATGAAAAGGTTTTTCTCCACCAAGCAAATGATTTTCCACTCCTAGTTTTGCCTTTTTTCTTTTTTCTTTTGAGCCTCATTATTATTTTCTTCGCTTGCTTAGTTGCCTCTTCACCCCTCACATTGACAGACAACTCCATCTCAGTCTAAATGGAAACTCTCAGCTCTTAATAAACTCTGAGCCGCATGTGAGCTCTTCTTTCCATGAACTAATGTTGAAACAACACACAGCCGCCCAGTGTCCAGTTACATTTGAACCCTGGTAAATTGAGCAGCAGGTGTTAAAATGGCAACGTCCCCCTCACATTCTTTCTGTACTGATGTGAACCTACTCAGATTAAAGTTGAGACTTGGAAGTAGTAGCTGCAGTATCCATTATTTAATTTCAAATTGAATGTGCTCTAGCAGAGAGCCTGAAGGACAAAAAATGTGTAACTGTGCAAAAACTCTGGACTGCATGTAGTGTCCTTAAGCAGAGCTGCAAGTGCTTTCACAGCATGTCATTTGCTGTGTTGATTTGTCATTCATTTACTTCTACAAATGTGAAAACATGTCTGGAGAATGTGGTTGTAAATCCAGCCTAAAAAGGCAAACACGGTTCACAAAAATGATTAATAGTCAGATGACATCCACATGCACACACTAATCTCGCACACACCACAAGTCCACAGAATCTTTCCTTAGAGAGTTTGTGGATTGCCATATCAAGTAAACCTACATCATGCCGTTTTGATAGAGTAAATATCATCCGTTCTTTGCCTACTTGTTTTTCTTTGGTTCCTTCAGCAACTTCAGCTGTGCTGTCATAGGTACTGAACATTTTTTCAAAAAGCTGCAGCTATCCATATATTGTATTCTGCTTCATGTTTGTGACCTAGAAATCCAACCCACGTGATCCTCCTCACTCAGATTTTTTTGCTACAGTATATATCCAGCAAATCCTTACATCCTGATCCATGGATCTGGATGGCTGCTGCTGTGTGTGTGTGTGTGTGTGTGTGTGTGTGTGTGTGTGTGTGTGTGTGTGTGTGTGTGTGTGTATATATATATATTATAAGATGCAATGTACTGGTGCTGAAGCGCATTTGAAACCTGCTAGAATTTTGGCAAAGAACTGAAGTATTGAAGGAACAATGGGGGATTTTCTTCTTATTCTTCTTATTTGGTTTTTGCAAGTTCACAACATTGGTTTACTGTTACAATCCAGTTAAAAAGGTCCATGTGTGAACAGAGAAAATACCTGAATTGCCATGATGAAAATCTTTGGACATTAAGCATCATTAATCGATCAGCAATCTGATACATATTAAATGAAATATGTACATAATCCCAGCACTAAACCCTCCATCAGCATGGGATTAATTATGTGATTAATTAAAAAACTCAACGCCTGTCCCTGTGGCGCACTGTGTTCAGAAGAGGAAGATGTACATGGAGAAATAAGAAAAAAAACTGTATGTGTGTTAGATATGTGAATAAAGTTACATTTAAAATGCAGTGGAAATCCTCTACATTCAGATTCTCCGCTCCGTCACATGACACTGATCTCATATTATCTAATCCATGTAAACAGTTAAGTAGATAATGCTCCTGCTTTTGCTGTTTCCTTTTTGCTGATGCAAGTGATGGAGACAGATTTCACAGGATTTTCACTTTTAATAGGTGAAGCTCAGGTTGCAGAAGCTTCCATACTCTCTGCAAGACATATTGAAGAGATTGAACAGATGTGATATGAACAGGAATTGGAATTGAGCATGAAGTCATGTGGTGTTAACATAGATTAAGTGTGTGTGTGTGTGTGTGTGTGTGTGTGTGTGTGTGTGTGTGTGTGTGTGTGTGTGTGTGTGTGCGTGCGTGCGTGCGTGCGTGCGTGCATGTGTGTGTGTATGCACGCAGAAAGTTGGGTGAAAACAGTGAAAGTGGATGTGAAAATCTACTGTAATGAGAAAGGTACTTGAACAGCAGGTGCAGAACCCTCCTACCACCCTGCCACAGCACACATACTGAGCAAACAGGTCTTTATGAATACAGAGTACGGTGGCTGGTGATAGGGTGTTCATGTGTATGTGTGTTTAAGTGTGTATGAGAAAAACGGATATGAGCCTGGGAGGTGGGCTGGACGCCTTGGAATTAATCCTGCTCAATTTGTCGACGTTTTCGTGTTTTGTTTTAACGCAGTGGTGGTGTGAGTGCGAGTGCGAGTTTTCCTGCGTGCGAGTGTGTTTGTGCATGTTTGTGTGCTCGAGCTCATCCAGCTGGGGGTTGATTGGCAAACACCACAAAACCCACTAATTGAATTCCTTCTTGTGTGTCACTCGTCCTTTATTGGAGCTTTTTTTGGCATTCTGTGGCAAACAGGTGGGCTGTCACTCCTCCACTGTTGCTGTTGCAGACACACCTCCATAAATTAGGGAATGAATCTGAATTGAGTTAATAGCTGTCGGCTTTGATGTCAGTAATTAAAAGTCATTGGAAGGATAATGGAATTTGAGGTTCCCAGGGGGGAGAATGAAAATAAAGCATAGAAATAAATGTAAAATAATGTTTCTGGTAGCCTTCTTCAGCCACTGCAGCTGATTTTATTTCTGTTTTTCTGTTCATTTGTCTTAAATATTTGTCAGGTCAGGTTCTTGGCAGAAGGTTGGGAGGATCATTTCACTCTTAGAATTTTATTTTTTTTTTTATTTATTTTTTTTATTTGTTTTAATTGTTATGTATAGGGCTGGTTGTAATATCTGCTGCTGAAGTCATTGTGTACTGAAGTAATGTTGAAGTAAAGGCTCAGTGTCTTATTTTTTTTTTTTTCCAGAGAGTTTAGATCCCAGCAGAGAGAACGCAGGCTACAACTTTGCCTCCAACAGCAGTTCAGTGGCAGCAGCCATCCTAGTGCCTTTTATAGCCATGATCATTGCAGGCTTCGCTCTGTACCTCTATAAACACAGGTAAGGCTAACGATGCTAATGTATTTCACACTGCCACATTGCCACATCTGCAAGCAACATACGACATTACTTCCGTACTGATACTACTTGCTCAGAAATGCTGTTTAAATTGGAATCATTTTCAGTCGCGGGTTACTTCACCTCTGCAGAGTGAGCTGTTTTCACATAAGAAACTTGCTTTTGTTTGATTTCTTTTGAAAGATATCGATTCTCCCTCCAAAATATATTAACTTGATATTGATTTTTGCAATTCACAAAGGCATATGTTGACCTCAAAAATGAGGAAATCATCATCTGTGGTGAGAGAATCTCCTCTCCCTGCCTAAAAAAGAACTGGTTTATCACAGTCAGGCAGAATGAAGTAGTAAGTTGAAGCTGAAATATTCAATGAAGTAGTTATGAGTCGGCGAGTGAACTTCCCATCTCATCTCAGTAAGACGCAGTATAGCCACATCTATATTGTGACACATACATCTGCTGTATAGTGGATATATTGTCCACCACAAATGTTAAAACAACTCATGGTTTATTACATTGATTCATTTAATTTCAGAAGAAGACCCAAAGTCCCCTTCAATGGTTACGTGGGCCACGAGAACACTAATGGACGAGCTACGTTCGAGAACCCTATGTATGACCGCAACATCCAACCCACTGACATCATGGCCAGTGAGACAGAGTTCACAGTCAGCACAGTGTGCACAGCTGTATAGCAACTGCTTCCTCCAGAGGTAAGAATCACACTTCACCAGGTCATCTGGCTGTATCATACAGGAAGGACTTAGATCTCCAGGCGCACTTGGATCCACATTTCTCTGAAAGTAGACGAAGTTATCACCTTGTGGCTTGCCTGAGCTAATCGCACATCCCAGGCATCAGAACTGCTGAAGCAACAAGACACAGACACTCACAATCCAGTTTCAGACTAAACCTATTACACAATCCCTCAAGAATTTTCTGCAGATAGAAAAATCTGTGATTGGATTTCTTCTCCTGCATTTCCTTTGATCTGTATCTCTCATATTAATGAATCTCATTTGGTTTGCTTACACTTTATTGAAAAAGAAGAATATGTATGTTTTTATTTTAACACTTTTGAGAATATTACATTAATGCTTTTATCTTCTCTCTTTTTTGATTTCCTTCATCTTTTTCATCTCCATTCTTTTGCTTATTGTTTACCTTTTCTCCCTTTGTCTATTTCCCTGCTTTTCTATGTATATTTTCTTTCAATCGCTCTTTCACTTGCCCTTCCCCTGCCATGTCTTGTATTTTCCCTGCACCCGTCCTTTGTTAGATCTTTGCATTCATCGTTGATTCAGTTAGGGGAGGAGAAGTGCACCACATCTTCGCCTGCCTGCCAGCAGAGGACATCCATAGTTCCTTGAGCAGAGGGCAAGACAAAGATTATTTTATTTGCTGAAATATATTCAAGAAACATCTCCAGTGATGAAGGCTCTTACCCGCAGGAGACAAGAAAAAAAATTTAAAAAAAGAAACCATGTGAAGACAACAGCAACTATAACAAATGCCAAAAGCAAAATGCTTTTTGTAACTTTACATGGTTTCTTGATCATTTTCCATATTTTAAGGAAAAGCTTCCACCTGAAACTGCAGCTGGTAGGTGTACTGCTGGAAGCAAAGCTGTGATGACTTTTCTCACCGCCCTCCGCCTAAACCCAAAGGGAATTTAATGGTCAACTTTAAGTCAAGAAATTGACCTGTAGCTAACAGAGATCTCTGTGCAAGTGAACTGTACGGCGGACAGCCCCTCGTTGGCCTGTGTGAGTCAGAGAGAGACGGTCTGGACTGTTTCGATTCATACTTCTCTCTGTTTTTCTTTTGCTTTTTTTTTCTCTTTCTTTTTTATATGCTGCTTGCTTTCTGTGACGAGTAATTGGGAACCCTGCTTTTCCCCAACTGTCTGCTCCTGAGGTTGTTGAAAGGTTTCATCGAAAGGCCCCTGGTTTCCAGCTGAGGAATGAATTAAAAATTCTGTGAGTTTTGAAGGCCATGTTGAAGACACACACTCTATATTTACTTCCTCTTTATTTTTTTTTAATTTTCATTTTTTTGAAGCAGGGATGAAATTCTGCTTGCTGAGGCAGCTGTGTCCAGAGCAGGGGTTAAAAAGTAGCTAGGGCTGCTGAAAAAAGCACTTAGTGAGAATTTGTAGAGAGAATTTACGTGTATACGTGATTGGGAATGAGAATGAGTTTGTGCTTGTGTGTGTGTGTGTGTGTGTGTGTGTGTGCGTGCGTGCGTGCGTGCGTGCGTGCGTGCGTGCGTGCGTGCGTGCGTGCGTGTGTGTGTGTGTGTGTGTATCTCTGCACACATTTGTTGTGGTTAAATCTGCAGTCTGTCCCAAAATTGTCCTGTCTGTTTGGCCCCAAAGATTCAACCCAACACATGACAGATAGTTTGCTAAAAAATCTTCTTCTTTTTTCTTTTTTCTTTTTTTTTTGTCATTTAAGAAAGGAAAAGGATTGGGTTCAGTATCACTTTATGTCTATCTGGATGCTCTGGTCACCAATAAATCAAATGTCTACCCAGAACAAGTGCTGATGACAATGTACAGATCCTCCAAGGAAAGAAAACCTGAAGGCGATGTCAGTCTCTAGTTCCAATGCTCATCCTCTGACACTTGGTTTGTAGTGGGAGAGACAGAGAGAAATCCACCTCTCAAACTGATGGCCCTAAATCCAAATGTTAATCGAGAGTAACACTATCAGATTCGCTTCGCACGGGTACGGGTTACAACCATCCAGTGTCGCTCTGAGGTACTCGAAGAGAAAAACACATCAGCTGGTTCAGAGCAGGGATGGCACCTGTTATAATTCCATGGATATACAAACGCCTTGGGACCATACCATATTTCATTCTCTTTGGGTTTTTTTTTTTTTTTTTTGGCTGGCACATTGTCTTCGGAAAGACTGCGAGTCACATTCTCCTCTTCTCACCTTCTTTTTAATCCTGGATCCACCTTCACACGTTTCTGCGGCTTGAAGGTGGTACATACTGTATATCTCTGAGATCATGATGCAGTATGAGCTCCCTATACTTGGCCTTAGGAAAACAAAGATCAAAGAGCGGTCATGTTCTCACTCCCTCGAAATGTTCAACTGAAGGCGTTTGAGTCTGAAGAATGGATGAGTCAGTGATGTTTTCCCTCTGGATTACATTCAGGCCTTTTCCTCCAAGTTAACTTCTGACAGCTCCATCCCTTTGAAAAACAGCAGTGTTGCTTTGTTTCGTCTTTGCTCATCTTGAAAATGGTGCAGAGGGCTTCCTCAGAGCTGTGACAGCAGGGGAGTCGCTGCCATACTGATTACTCCCAAGCATTCCACTGGAAATGATAAATATGATATGTGAAAAAAAAAAAAAAAAGTTTATGCCTCTAATGCTAACACTCAAATCTGTGGTAAATTGGGAGTGATATACAGAAAATATTGTTTTGAAAGTGCAACACAGGAGGGAACTGTCATCAAACTGACACTCGGATACGACAGCAGGGCTGGCTGCTGAATGACATGCCCGATGAGAAGAGCAGATTCAAAGCAGTAATGCTTTTGTGCCGCTTTTCACGTGTGTGTCTGTGTCTGTGAAATGTGTATTGTGAGAAGGAAGAAAACCCACTGGATTTCAAACACCGTGCTCCCAGCTATTTACCACTTACTATCCCCATTCCCATCTATCCTGTGGATGCTGAGTGGGGTGAATAGTGCTCAGATTTCACTGCATCAAATTGAGACATTACATGCAATTTGCTTTAATTTAGCCTTGCTTCATTGTCAAACCCATTTTTCGAATCCTGAATTCATCTTACCATTATCACTGAAAGGGCAGATCCTCAATTATGTAATGTCTGACTCCCAAAAAAAGCAGTCTAAAACATCCACAGTGCTTTGATTTACCACGTACTCTTTGGCATCCTTCTTTTTAGTGTTAACATTGGTGGAAATTAGGAGTAATATTGGACTTGCATGGATTTGTTTTGGTACATCAGCATATACATTACATATCCATATAAATGCAGAAAAGTGGCTTTCACAGTCAAAATCAGCCTCCTTACCAACAGGTTTTTAATGAAGTCTTTACAATCACCTGCAGTACATAATTTCCCTCAGAAATTCAGGCCTTTGAAACCAATCACTCTATTGTTCCTTCAATCAGTTTCGCTGTGGGTCGGTAATTGCTTTTACAATTTTATTACTTTTAAAGCTCTCGCTTATCTCGACAGTACAGATAGAATATTGCCCCTTGCCTGCTCTGGTCGTGAATTGATGGAAAAGGAAACGATTGAATTACTCTGGAGATTTCACGGGGAGAGGAGCAGTTGCACTCATATTATCTTGAAGGCATTGGTACTCATTTCTCATAGTTTTATGCGACTGTTGCATTGTGCATTTCATTTATTTTTATCCTGAAATTGCTCCAAATATTTTAGCAGAGTGAATAGCTTCATTACATTCCAGTTAGTTTCTGTTAAGGCCACTTTGAAGTGGTCTTTCCCCTCCATTGATTCCTCCCATGGCAACGTTTAACACCCATTATGTAACACTTTATTAAACTGCGTTGAGTATTAAACAAACAAATGTGATTAGCCAGTGCAATAGGACATGATTCCCCCACTCCCTTAATGGAACTTATTCTATTTGACTAGATTTAGACCGTGGATTTGGACGAACATAATACAGAAGCATATGCTCACACAGCTATGATTGTTTTTACCAACAAGGGCTCAGTGTAAGCTAATTTAGAAATGGTTTAAAAGGGCCAGACTCATATCCTTTTTTTTTTCTCCGTGTTTTTGTACCTCCTCCAGTCTCCAATAAGCACTTTACATTCATTATAGTGCCTTGGTACAACCCCATGATATGATGAACCAGCTCGAGTGGCTCTTTTTTTTTGTGTGTTCAAGAATTCCAAACATCGTCATTTCATAATAAGGTTGGGGGGTTATCATATTTTTATGTCCGATATTTGAAATGAGAGCTCTTTCTCTCTGGTTCTCAGACCAGTCATTGTAATCATTTCTACAGACACACCTGCTGAAGAACCTGGGAGCTCTTTTCATCTGTGTTTTTGATCTTACAGGAAAAGGCTGAGCTTGTTAGGATCATGTTAGAGAAACCGTCCCCCTTTTTTTCTTTTCCTGAATGAGCAATGTGCTCATTAGTACTGTATTTTGGTGTGCAAGGATTAATGTCTTGGATCTTATGTGCTTGCCTACATGTCTGGCTGTGTGTTTGTGTTGTGTGTGTTTTTTTGGAGAAGTTAAAAAGTCGCTTTTTCAACCAAAGAAAATTATTTAAATTCAACCAGATTAGAATAACAAAATTAATATTAACTGCTTAATCAGTTCTTAGTGTTGATTTAGTTCCACTAATAGGAAAAGTTTTTAATAGGGAACAAGATATTTTCAAAAATTCATGCTGGTAATTTTGCAGAAATGGGGGTTTTCACTTAATGGGTGCTACATCTATCGAAATATTTCCCTTTTAACCCATCTGGGTTAGTCCAAAAAGTTCTCAAAAGAAAGTGCAGCACAGTTATATGAAAATGAAGATCAGTGAGTTCGGGACGGAGCCGTGCTATAAGAGTTAGAAGACAGTCTGTCTTGATAGCAGCCGGCTACTTCCTGGTTCTCTTTGCATATTTTAAGACAGAAACTGTTCATCCTTGGTTCATTTTCGTTATCAGCCGGACACAG